TTGGAATTGAACTCTCGAAATTATAGACATTAATTACTTTTAAACTGCGAAGTGTCCATTTGATATAGTCATTACATATAGATCAATCCTCCATAAATAATTCATAATTAGAGTCAGGTAGAATCCGTTAACCTCTCTAATTACATCTTTATCCTTGAGTACCATTGATTCTCTAATGGATAGTGATTCATAAAACACATTCATGAACCAGAGCGCTCTTACTAATCAAAGTACCGAATCAACACTCAAGAGAATTATTTATCTGCTTCATTCTTAAGAAAGAATGGATTCCATCTTGTATAATAACATTCCCAGCTACCTATTTCATTATGTCTCCAAAATACAAGGAATAGGATTCAGGGTCTCGGAATCCGTACCGAGTAAATCAAAAGACATAAATCCATAAATAGGAGTTTGTTAAGAACTCAGGATTAAGATCATCCTATATATGACCATCGGTAGACTCAATTAGAATTTCTATGCTTAACGGAAATTATTAGAAATTTATATTGTGTCTGTGTCCATGTTCCACATAATCTCATTATGCGAAATACACTCATTCAATATCTCGCCATATTAACAGTGCGGATAACACCGTTCCATTCTAAATGGGAATGACATGTATTAATAATGTTTTAATTAAAGATTCTGAACTTTAATTAAATTCATTATGAACAATTACTTTTGATTATTATCCTTAAACATTATCCTCTCGTATACAACACTTATATACCATGTTTAAGGTTACATAAATAATCAAGGAATTTTATTTGATATTCATAAAATATTCATAAATATATGCACATAAAATGATGAATAAACTCTTTTATTAAATAAATAATAAATATCTTTTTACATCTCATGCTTCTAGGACACTATTCCCAACATGTCTCTGCAGAAGACCTTGACACTGTCTGTTGTTTCTTAGATTTCCACGAGACAAGTAAGTCTCCAATGAAAACACAAAAGCCACTAATGGACTTTCTTGTATCAGGACAAGCAACCCAATCTGAGTAAGCAAAAGCTTTCAACTCAATTGTCGAGGTAGAGGAGAAGAAAAGGCCCTGACCAACTGTGCCTTTCAAGTATTGTAGAACGTGAAATGCTGCCTGTAAATGAGTCACTGTAGGATTAGCAAGAAACTGGCTTAGCCGATTCACTGAATATGAGAGATCTGGCCGTGTGATAGTGAGATACAACAATTTTCCAATCAATCTCCTATACTGGGAAGGATCTTCCAGTGCTTCTCCATCATTCTGGGAGAGCTTCACATCACCATCCATGGGTGTTTTCCTTGTCTTGCAGCCCAGACGTCCTGAATCCGAGAAAAGATCCAAGGCATAATGTCTCTAGCTGATTGAGATTCCTTTAGCAGACCTAGCAACCTCAAGTCCAAGGAAATATTTCAAGTCTCCAAGGTCCTTGAGTTTAAATTTGTTGTCTAGAAACTGTTTGAAAGCTGTCACATAGTTCAAATCATTGCTAGCAATCACTATGTCATCAACATAGACCAAAAGAGCTACAAATGAGGAACCTTGAATTTTGGTGAACACTGAGTTGTCTACAGTTGATTGCTTGAAGCCTTTAGTAGTAAGGATCCTTGAGAATTTTGAGAACCACTGTCGGGAGGCTTACTTAAGTCCATAGAGGGACTTATGAAGCTTACAAACGACATTAGTTGGCATAGTCTCCCCCTCACGGTGAAGACCAGGAGGCAGTGACATGTATACTTCCTCATCAAGATCATTGTGCAAGAAAGCATTATTAACATCTAGTTAAGTTAAACTCCATCCATGAATGGCTGCTAAGGCAAGCAATGTCTTCACAGTAACCAATTTTGCTACGAGTGAAAAAGTGTCAAAGTAATCAACGCCCTCTTGTTGAGTGAAACCCTTAGCAACTAAGCGAGCTTTGTAACGCTCTATGGAACCATCTGCCTGATATTTAATCCGGTAAACCCATTTGCAACCAACTGCATGTTTACCATGAGGCAAGCTAGTCAGAGACCAAGTCCCATTCCTTTCAAGAGCCTGCAGCTCCACTGACATGGCTTCACGCCACTCTGGAACAGCAAAAGCCTCAGTGAAGGTGGTAGGTTCGACATTGGAAGAAATGGAACAAAGTAGAGTTTTATAAGGAATGGACAGTTTGTCATAAGAAAGCACTTTAGATAGTGGGTGTGCAGTGGAACTGGAAACATGAGTAGTGGAAGAACAATGGTAATCCTGTAAATAAGAAGGAGGTTTTCAAGGTCGAGTAGGCTGTATGATAGCATCAGGAGCACTATCATCAAAAGGCGGCGGCGAAGGGTGATCAGGAACAGAGAGGGGCAAGACTCGATCAGAGAAGAAGTCCTGAGGACTAGATTTGGAAGGAGAATCACAAAAAGGAAAGATAGTCTCATGAAAAATAACATCTCATGAAATGAAAATGGCATTTGTGGTGAGATCAAGAAGCTTGTATCCTTTGTATCCAGGTGGATAACCCAAGAAAACAGCTTTGGTAGCATGAGGAGAGAACTTGGCTCTATGTCTAGCTAATGTGGAGCTATAACATACACAATCGAAAGCTCGTAGATGGGAGTATGAAGGTTTCTTTTTCCATAGGAGTTCAAAGGGTGTTTTATTAGACAACAAGGGTGAAGGAATTCGATTGATGAGATAAGCTGATGTTAGGACACAATCCCCCCAGTAATCTAAAAGTATGTTGGACTGAAAATTTAAAGCGCGTGCCACATTTAGAATGTGCTGATGTTTGCACTCCACAATAGAGTTTTGTTGGGGGGTATCGACATAAGAGTGAAAATGAATGATTCCATTTGTGCGAAAAAAGTAGAAAAGGCCAACTCAAGGGCATTATCAGAATGAACTGACTTGATCTTTATTCCAAACTATGTGTCTATTAAAGAGAAAAATTCTGAAAAAATAGTTGTGACTTCAGATTTTGTTTGCAAAAGGTATACCCAAGTAAACCGTGTGTAATCATCAACTATAGTGAGAAAATAACGGTAGCCCTCTGTGGTCAAGTGGTGAAAGGGACCCCAAATATCACAATGTATTAATTGGAATGGTGAATCTGTCATGGAATTACTAGAGGGAAAGGGGTAACCTGCGCTGTTTAGCCAAATGACAAAGTGAACAATGATCACATTTATCAGAAACATCAGAAATTTGTAATTCATGCCTTAAAATATTGAGTTTTGCATATGAAGGATGTCCCAAACGATAATGCCAAAGGTCACTTTGTGACAAAGAAACATTATTACAACTGTTTGATGAACTAGGAAATAAGGAAGACTCAGGGGCAAAATTGTGTAGGTCCAGAAAGTAGAGGTTTCCATGTCTCCTACCCGTCCCAATCGTTGTGCCTTGAGAATGGTCCTGGATGGTACAAGAATTAGAGAGAAAATTAACGGAGTAGTGATGGCCTTGGGTAAGAGCACTAATGGACAAGAGATTAAAATGGAACTGTGGCACATGCAGAACGTTATCTAACACCAAGTTAGATGACAATCTTATTGAGCCTGTTCGATCAATTGACACAGTGTGACCATTTGAAAGAGTGACATGAGAGTTAGAAATAAGAATGGATGACATGAATGAATTCAATGAGCAACATACATGATGAGTTGCACCGGTGTTAAGAATCCAATATGAGGAAGAAATGGAATGAGTGGAAGAAATAGAGGAAAGAGATAGTATGCCACTGAGGTTTGAGACTGATGGTCCAGACTGTTACGGATCAGGAGTGACGCGTGACATGCCTTGCAGCTGCATGGTCAAAAGAGCAATGAGCTGTTGGCACTGATTAGATGTGAGGGCATTGAGAGAATATGAGGAATATAAGCAATTTTCTTCTGAAGAAACTGCAGCAACCTGGTTTGTTTGAGCTTTGGCTTGTTGACCCTTTGCCTTCGTTTTGAAGCCAGGAGGAAAGCCATGAATCCTGTAGCATTTCTCAATGGTGTGCCCTTGCAAGCCACAATGGGAACAATGTGGTTTATCCCATTTAAACTTCTAGTTCAAGTTGGCAGAAGAGGCAGCAACTGAGGGCTTCTGATCAGTACCAAAAACGTTTGGCTCAGAAGAAGAAGGAGGCAAAACTTGACCAATCATTCTCTGCCTCTCTTCTTGGAGCACGAGCGCAAACACTTTTGAAATTGGGGGCAAAGGATCCATCATCAGAATTTGGGAACGAATCTGAGTGAAAGACTCGTTGAGACCCACAAGGAATTGCATAACATATTCCTGATGTTGGTAGTCTAACCAAGTTTTCATTCCTCCACATCTACAAACTGGTATAGGCTGAAAAACCTTAAGTTCATCCCAATAGATCTTCAGTTTAGTATAGTAAGTATTCACATCCATAGATCCTTGTTGTAGTCCAGTTAGATGGGTTTTAAGTTGAAAAATCTGTGGCCCATTGCTCTGATTGAACCGATCATAAAGATCGTTCCAAATCTCAAGAGCTGTGTCCACATAGAGTAAGCTATCAGCTATATCCCTAGCTACTGAGTTCAAGATCCAGGAAATTACCATGCTATTGCAGCGAATCCACACCTTGAACAATAGATCGTCGGGGGATGGGCGAGGAAGGCTTCCATCTACGAACCCAATCTTGTTCTTCGCTGTGAGAGCCATGATCATTGCTCGGTTCCAGGTATTGTAGTTGGAACCGGTGAGATGATGAGAGACGAAGACCAGCCCTGGGTGATCCCTGTTGTGAAGAAAGTACGGACTGCTTGAATCTTCCATTTGCGACGAGCCAGAGGAACCGGAGGAACCAGTGATTTGGACCTGACGATTGTTCCCTCTCGCCATGAAAGCTCAGCGAAGCTTTCTCTCTGATACCATTTTACAAAAATTAAATGATATTGGGCCTAACTCAACCTAACAAAACCTATTTGTTAAGGGATGATTGCCCTCACCTTATTAAGTGGATCATGCCAATATCTCCAGTTAATGTGAGATTCTAATAGTATCTCTAATATCTTTTTTTAATAAATAATCTATGTGATTTTAAATATTGTTAAGCAAATGAATACATCTCATTTTGAAACAATGATGCATTCTCACATTCCAATGCCAATTTGAATTGCCAAAATAATGTAACTGAGTGGTTAAATAAACGAATATTGTACATAATTTTGAAACAAGAATACATGCTCAAAGTCCTAACACCACTCAGAATAATATAAAAGAGATCTCATTAATTGGCGACTTGTTTAGGAACATTAATGAATTTGCGAACAAAATATGCCTCATGTCTTTCGCAGAAAAGTTTGATTGATTATGTTATGTAAGCCTTGCTTCAGTATCTGTGGAGGAAATGTGTTGCTAATTTTTACAGAAATCAAAAGATATTGGACATAACTCAACCTAATAAAATCAGTTTGTTAGAAGATGATTGCCATCACCTTATTAAGTGGATCATGTCAATATCTCCAGCCAATATGAGATTCTAATACGTCCCCTCACGCACAACGTGGACCATGTCAAACCGCTGTGAATAAGTCGATATTGGAGGATCCAACATTATAAAAATGTGTCTATTCTGATACCATATTGAAATATTGAGGAAAGTTGGAAGAAGAATTTTCACTTCTCATTCATCTGGAAACGTGCAAGAGCCAAAACAGAAAACATATACCGGCGAGAGGAAAGGCACACACAACGTGTACCATTGTCCAGCTCAGCAACAGAAAAAAAGTAAAACAAGTAAAAATAGCTAATTGGTCAATTACTTTATTCTATTTACAAGGGGATCCCTACTATTCTAATAGATACCAAGATATGCCTCAAATATTTTGTAGTTCAACACATAATAAATAAAATGCTAATTTCAATACGTGAAATACAATTTTCTAATTCTTGAAAAAAGATATATAATTTTCTGTGAATGGATTTATGATGATTCACTTATGATTGCTAAGTTATACATGGAAATATTCTAAAACAAAGTGGATTTATCAATCAAAAAATGATAATTCACTTATGTTTATCCAAGTCATATGTGGAAATATTCTAAAACAAAGGTCATACTGGGAATCGCCATTAATTTTGTGTTATTTATAAAAGAAAAAAGAAAAGAATTATCAATATTAATTTTCTTTTTTTTCTGAAAATAACGAGGAAATTTACCTAACTAATAAAAAAATAGAAAAAGGAAAAGAATTCCCAAAACGCAGATATCTGTTGTATATTCTCAATATCCTTCAGAGCCAAAAAAAAAAAAAAAAAAAAAAAAAAAAAAAGAGAGCTTAATATATCCCTTAAAAGAAAAGGGAAAAAAAAGGGAGAAAAAAAAAAGAGAATCCGAGTCGAATTCTATTTGGGACTCAACGAGACGTGAAGGTGAAAACGCTTCCCTTTTCCCAAATTCCGTGCAGAACCCTTACTTCCGGGCGTCGAAGAAGAAGAAGATTCTTCCCTAATCACCGCCTTCGGTTCTTTCAATTTCTCACACCCCAAACCCTACCCTGAACTTTAATTTTCCAACCGAATCCACGTCGCAGCAAATTCCATCTCCAATCCCGATCGATTTCGCCGCCGCGCCGCCGTCGCCGTCGTCGTCTTCTCCGATTAGCGAAGATGGTTTTGGCACAGTTAGGAGGGAGCATTTCGCGTGCTCTCCAGCAGATGAGCAATGCGACGGTGATCGACGAGAAGGTCCTCAACGAATGCCTCAACGAGATCACTCGCGCCCTGCTCCAGGCCGATGTCCAATTCAAGCTCGTCCGCGACATGCAGACCAACATCAAGAAGATTGTCAATTTGGACGACCTTGCCGCCGGTCACAACAAGCGCAAGATCATTCAACAAGTACGCCTTTTTCTTCCTTTTTTCAGAGAATTTTGTCTTCATTCTTTGGGTCTTTTCGATGTGTATGAAAGGGAATTGTTGTGTTCTTGTGGTTAGGCTATATTTAATGAGCTTTGCAAAATACTGGATCCTGGGAAACCTTCTTTCACTCCGAAGAAAGGGAAAACGAGCGTTGTGATGTTTGTCGGTTTACAAGGTGTGTTTGGATTGAATACGCTTAAATTGCAAATCATTTCATTTTGATTGAGTAATGGTTTAATTTCTTTTAAGTGTTTTAAATTATTCTTATTTTTATGTTGAAAAACAAATTCAGGTTCTGGGAAAACTACAACATGTACAAAATATGCATATTACCACCAGAAAAAGGGGTGGAAGCCGGCTTTGGTGTGTGCAGATACATTTCGAGCTGGTGCTTTTGATCAGCTGAAGCAGAATGCCACTAAAGCTAAGATTCCCTTCTATGGAAGGTACTTTCTGTGCTTTCTAATCGGTTTTGAATACTCTATGTAGGTTTAGAAGTTAGAAATTTGCTTAAAATGCTATAACTTTTCCTTCCTAGGCAGGTGAATTCTTTGTATATAGCAAGAGATTACTATTTTTTTGGCTTGAATTTTATGTTGAAAAGAATATCCTTGCTTGTTTCTTTTAGTTTTTTCTCCCTTCTCAAAAGTACTACTAGTGCATCATCAATCATACTTTTCATCAATTGCATTGCTAATCAGAAGCGCTTACGTTTATAGTAAATTCTTAAGCATCTTAGTGATTGTTGATCATTTTGCTAAACAGCTATATGGAGTCAGATCCGGTGAAAATTGCAGTTGAAGGTGTGGAAAGATTCAAGAAAGAGAGTTGTGATCTTATAATTGTTGATACTAGTGGGCGCCACAAACAAGAAGCTGCTCTTTTTGAAGAGATGCGCCAAGTTTCTGAAGCTACGGTATTCTTCTGGATTTCCATTCTCTATTTTTTTTTTCTTTTAAAGAATGTCTATGAGGACTATTCTCTTTATTTATTTTTTTTTTTTTTTCTGTTTTGTTCCAGAAACCAGACCTTGTTATATTTGTTATGGATAGCAGTATTGGTCAGGCTGCTTTTGATCAAGCTCAAGCATTTAAGCAAAGTGTTTCAGTTGGAGCTGTAATTGTTACAAAAATGGATGGCCATGCAAAAGGAGGTGGCACTCTCAGTGCGTAAGTCTTGTTGTGACATTTACAGTCTACATCTGGATTTATTTTAGTGACAGAATTCTAAATGCATCCTTACAGTATTCTAGGCAGATGAAATTTAGTAGCTATGTAATTTGCAATTTGTAATGCATTAAACATACTAATTTTGTTTTTTTCCTTCCATTGAATATGTTAGTATAGTTTCGGATATCTAGGATGATATGATGGAGTTTAAGGAATCATGGTGTCCAAAGCACATATGTAAAAATTGTACTAGAAGTTATTGTTTCAAAGAACTTGTTCACCTTAGGTTCCATTTTCTTTTGATTTAAAATGGCGCGTTCTCTATTTTGACTTCTATGCCTTTGTTAGCTTTGACAGTCTTGTTCTGTTTCAAATTATGTGTGCAGTGTTGCAGCAACAAAGAGTCCTGTTATATTTATTGGAACTGGAGAGCATATGGATGAGTTTGAAGTTTTTGATGTTAAACCATTTGTCAGCCGACTCTTAGGTGCGCTTCATCCCATTTTGCAGACTTGCCGCAATTGGAGTTTATATTCTAAATGTTTAAACGTATTAATATGACAATTACTTTTCCTACTAGGCATGGGAGACTGGTCTGGATTTATGGACAAAATTCATGAAGTTGTTCCCATGGATCAGCAGCCGGAGCTCCTACAAAAGCTTTCAGAAGGGAATTTTACATTGAGGATTATGTACGAGCAGTTCCAAAACATACTCAAAATGGGTCCAATAAGCCAGGTTATAACATTGACTTATCTACCTGCCTTCCTCTAAATGCTTTTAGATTAATTCTCTTGGATTTCAATCTGGGAAGCTGGTTTTTATGCCAATCATTTACATGGTTCGTGTAGGTATTCTCGATGCTTCCAGGATTTAGTGCCGAACTAATGCCAAAAGGACGTGAAAAGGAAAGCCAAACAAAGATCAAGCGCTACATGACGATGATGGATTCAATGACAAATGAAGGCAAGTGAAAATTTAATATTATTGCGGCAAAAAACTTTAAAAGCACTGTTTTAATCCCCATAGCTAACTGTGTTAAGTACTTTGCAGAGTTGGATAGTTCAAACCCAAAGCTCGTGAATGAGTCGCGTATGATGCGGATAGCAAGGGGTTCTGGTCGCCATATTAGAGAAGTAATGGAGATGTTAGAAGAGTACAAACGCCTCGCTAAAATATGGAGCAAGATGAAGGGGCTTAAGATTCCTAAGAAGGGTGAAATGAGTGCTCTGTCCAGAAATATGAATGCGCAGCACATGAGCAAAGTTCTTCCTCCTCAGATGCTGAAGCAGATTGGCGGCATGGGCGGCTTACAGAACCTGATGAAGCAAATGGGTTCTGCCAAGGACATGATGGGGATGTTCGGAGGAGGAGGGGATTAGTAGACGTCAGTCCATATGCCAAGCTCAAAGTTCATTCCCAACTACGGGTGCTAGGTTGCCTCGGAGACGATGCTCAAAAGGCATTTTTATACACAAGTTCATGTTTCTAAATTCTAACTGACTTGGCAGTAATGTGTACTCCTGTAGGGCCAAGCATTTTTTTTTTCCCTGTCAATCTTACCGCTATTTTGTTTTCTTTTTATTTATATCTAGCACTGGATAGTTGAAAGTTTTCCTTGTGTACGTATTTAGTGGGAAAAAAAATTTTTATCGACTTCTTGAGCATTAATATGTTTCTATAGCAAATAAGTGGGAATTTACTACTTTGTTTCAATCATCTACTTTCATGTTTGATTCATATCTGTTCTGTATCCTGCATCTTTCTCCATTTTCCAATTGCTAGAAGAAAGCGAAACTCAGCAGTACTTCAAGCATATATAATAGACTACGAGGATATATTTCACATCGGTATAAATTCAACTTATTCAAACAAAACTGATATTGTACAGTATATTTCAGGCACTAATTTATTTCCATCTCTATTTACTGGGTAATTAAAAAGGTAGGATACACAATTATACATTGACTCGTGACGTCACTAATCATCTTTCTAAGAATTTGCCAAGAACAGTTTTCCTCAAAGATGTGTCCTCTTCATCCTCGTCGTCTTCTACTCCAGTTTTGGCACTTGTTTTCAGCGAACAACGGATAACTGAATTTATCTGCTTCCTCAATGTAGCATTATCGACAAGTATATCCGATACCATCTTCCTCAACTCATCATCACTTTTCCTACTCTCACCACCATTCATATGATTGGAACGGGATTCGTCACCGACTGTAACAGCATTTGCTATGTCCTGTGCAAGAAGCTGCGCCTGCTCCAATTAGAAAACCAATAAAGGAGGGATGTTCAGTTTTTATACAAAGGAGTGAACATTTTCAACGAGCGTTGCTTCTGTAATCTCAAAAGGCACACACAAAAGGTACCTCTGCAAGTAGGAGACCAATTCGATTGTCAGATGTTGTCAGTAAATCTACGGCATCAGACAGTGATGAAGTGTCCAGAATTAATTTATCTTCCTCCTCAACAAGGAAATTAACACTGCATTCTTGAAGCCGACTACGAAGAATTCCACATTCATGCAGTAACTTCGCATTAACAGTATCTGCACGTTCTGCTCTTTGCTTTTCCTTTTGAAGAACCCTCTGTAATAAAAAAAAATTCACGAGAGAAATATTCAACATGACAGATTGACGGAAACAGGAAAAATTAGACCTCAAGATGTTAAGATCAGGAGAACGGACGTCACCTCTACTTCCAATTTTTCTTTCATCAGTCGGCTAAGCTCCTGCTTCATTTCTGACTGAGAATTTCTAAGAGATTTGACCTCCTTAACAAGCAGCTTTATCTCTGTCTTTGATTTCAACTCAGACTCTTCATGATGTTTCTGCAAATTATCAAGCTGCCCTCTAGCAACATCCAACTCCTGTGACAACATCTTATTATCATGCATGATTGATGTCTTTGTCGACTCTGAATGCACTTTTTCTTCCTGCAATGCTCTTACATATTATTCATTGAATACCCAAAAATTACACGAGAAGATCTAAACAAATATTAAACAGTTGAATGAACAAACCTCTTCAGACTTCAATTTTAATTCCAGCTCCATGCACTTCCTTCGAAGTTCTTCAATATCCCACTGCATTTGGGTAAATCTTTCCGTTTCGGTTAAAATAGCCTGCTCCATATTTTCTTTACAATTCTGCGTAGTAGTTTCAAGTTCCACTTCCAAATCTTTGACCTAAAAAAGAAAATGTTTACAAATCAATCACAAACCATGTTATTAATATTGAATGACAAGCTTGACATGCCAATGCAATGAAGGAATTTTATACCTTTGTTGTAAGAAATTGTCTCACAGCAACTTCTTGATTCAATCTGGCTATAAGATCTTCAGTGTCTGTTTTTGCTGTCACTAGTCTCTGCTTAAATGTCATGAGGACCCTGTTCAATTTATGTCTCTCATCGGATGGAAGAGTAACCACTAAATCCCTATGAAATTGAAAATCAGGGTCGAGAAAAGCATCTGCATCTCTTGAAGCTCCTGAACCTCCAGGAAGGTCAGTCTCGCCATTCAAGTTGGATAACACACTAGCTCTAACAGAACTCAAATCACTTCCCGCACTTTCTACTGAGAGTCTTCTAGCATGGCCATGCTCTCGTTCTGGAATGAATTCTGTTCCATTGAGGCGAAGGGGTTTAGCAGTAGTCTCCAATGGATCAATTAAATCTTGTTCAGATGTTGACTTTTCCTTGCCAAAATCAGCAGAGTTTCCAATACTATGCTTTGTTGTTCCAAGTTCAGATATCTCATGTGGAGTCCCATCAACACAATCTGATGCAAAAGATGAGTTACAAGCAGCCACTGAAGCATCTGAATTATCTTGTAATGGAAATGATGGGACCGCATCGCTTGTTGAGAAAAGTACATCTGAACTTTGCTGAGCAACATCGTTAAATGCTGAAAAGCATACCAGAAGGAAATGAGAAAAAACAAGAGCAATAAATATAGCTAGATATTGACGCTTTTTCTGTTTCACTTTACAAAACATTGTTGTTCAAGATGCATCAAGGAAACACCTACAAGACCTCACGGCAGCTTCAAGCTCGAGAAACATTGCTGTTTGGAGACTTCTTGATATATCAATGTCCGATAATAGCTTTTGCATCCAATCCTCCAAAGAGCACCTTCGCTGCAAAGAACTAATCAATTTGAGAATAAGAGGGCACCTAAACACCAATATCCAAATAAAACAAAGCACACAACCTTTTCCAAAACTTCCTCTGTTTTTATTCTCAAAAGCTTCTTAGGAGGAGCTGGAGGCAGATCTTTCATGGGAAATGCCTTTTTAAGCTACAAAAATAGCAACAAGTGAGGTTGGCTAAGAAAGACGGATCAAAGAAAACATGATAATATATTCCGCCTACAGTAGTTTATTTTGTGAAGAAAGACTATTATGCTTTAAGAAGTAAGAACATAAATAAATGGCAATGTCAGAGCCACGTAAAAAAGTTCCACTTACTTCAGAAAAAAGCTGCAAGAAATCATTAAATCTTCGTAATATCCCTCGAGCTGTGGTAACCCCTTCTGGGGTTTGTATACCAACTTGAACCTTATAAAACTGTTATCAATGAATGTTAATACAATATTATGATTCTGGGCGCATCAAAAAATAGGCACGAAAAAAGCTATGCAATTCACTTTCACCACAAGACATCAACTAATACACACGGAAAAGTCATTCGAGGAGTTGAAGACTGAAAAGGAAAAGTTCTTCACTTTCATCACTTTGCAATTGTGCCCAGTTCAAAAAAAAAAAAAAAAAAAAACTTATTTAACATGTATATACGAACAGAAAAGACAATAATTTGAACTGTAAGAAAGTATACCACTACAGGATCAGAACCATTTGATTTACGCTGGGAAGTCCAAGAAGGAATTAAGACGCTGTAGCTCCATCCTGTGTGAGGATCATGTGGCCAAACCGAGTCCCTTCCATCCTACATTCAGAAACTGGTTTTTGTTATTATAGAGAATAACAAAACATAATATTTAATCTCAAATTACATGTTCAGTTGAAACACAAACTACCCACGAAAATAAAACAACAAATAGAAAACTAAACCCAGGTGTAATTTTTCATACTAAACAGAGAAATGCTTCAACTTTTGCTTTGTAGAGATCAAATTGCTCACCAGTTTTGGGTTACACTCAAAGGCGCATACAGCGAATCATTATTTTTGCTCAAATAAAACCAAAAAAAAAAAAAGATAAAATGAAAGGAAAAACAAATTCAAGAACATAAGAGCTGAAATTAAACTAATATGGTGAATTATAGAGGAATAAAAAAAATCGAAGTTGATTGAAATAGTACCCATTTACGAGGAGGAGGACTCCAATCCATGCCCATGGGAAGCGGCGAGGTGCCGTCGTGGCGGTGGTGGCTGGGAGGAGCGGCGCGATTGGGCGGCACGCGCCTCTCGCCGCGACTGGGATATCTTCCATAGCCGTAAAGAGAAGGATTGTTGTAGTAAAAGTCATCGTTGGGTAGGGAATTGAGAAAGGCAGAAGAACGGCGGTGAGAGAACGAGTCGTCGATGGAGTCGGAGAAGGCGAATTCGTTGAAGTCGATGAGAGAAGAGAGGTCGTGGGCGTAGAGATTCATGGTCGTTTTGTTACTGTTAACGGGTGTTTGTTTTGTTTGTGTTTTTTTATCGTTGTCGTTTGAGGAGGAGAATTATAAGAAAGGAAATGGGGGATTTGAGGAACTTTGCATCGGAGACAGACGGTGGCTGCTGCTGAGGGGGAAAGAGACGCCTTCCTCAACGTTTTACTTTTGGGCTCATCAAGGCCCAAATCATTTTGACTTTTATTATTCGAGAAATTTCGAATTAATTCCTTTTTTTTTTTCACGGTTTTCAAAAAATAAAAAATGAAAACGCGCAATAAAAATAAAAAACAGAAATAAAAATAATTTTTTGATTTAGTGTAAAATGAGAGAGAAATAAAAAATAACTTTTAGTCATTTTTTATTTTTTATTTTTATTTTTTTCTCTCTCAAGCAGAGAGATAAAGAGATACACTAATAGGTTTTTTTACACTGAAAATAATCTCTTGATAAAACTACCAAACACATTTTCAAAAATGATTTCTGTCTGAGATTGAAAACGTTTTCATTTTCATTTTCATACAAAAAATAAAATCATTTCGGAACAAGTTCTAAACGCGCCTTTCAAGTTTAATCGTCATTTTTTCCAACAAAAATTATTTTTACTACTACAAAAAATTTTAATATCATCAGAAAAAATAACAGGTTATAAAAAATAATTTACAGATGAAGAAATATAACTTATAAATTACTTATAAATTACAAAAGATAATTTGTAGGTAATAAAAAGATAACTTATAAATTATTAGTAGTATGAGATAATTTATAAGAGTAATAGAAATAAAATAGTGTTTAATGATAAAATTTTTAATTTTCTCCCTTATCATTTTGTTTTATTTAGAGATAGTTACGCGACAAAATTTCATACATTAAATTGAAATTTAACGAAATTTCCTCTCTCTAAAGAATATTAACAAAATTTTAAAAATATTAGAAAAATAACAAAAATGACTTAATAATTATAAGAAAAATACTACATTTAATACTATTTAGTGATTACTTTTTTCAATATGTATAGTCGTTATTTTAATTAAAATGATATAAGATTTTGCTATTTTTAATTTTACTCTATTTCTACTTTAGTATTTATATTTCACTAAAGAAATCTTTTATTTATGTATTTATTTATTTATTTTTGTTAATGGCTAATAAATATCACGATGAAAACTATTCTTTCCGTTTAAACTGGGGTATAAATACTACCTTTATGATGAAATTATGTGTAGATTTACCTTTACATTATACATGCAACCATGAAAATTGCAGCTTTCATCTTTTAAATAATTTTTCATCATACTTCATAAAAATATCCATCTAAATCTAATGTATCCTTCTGTCAGAATTATACTTCTTCTAACATATAAAAGTTAATTAACTCAAGTGAGAGGGTGCTTGGTTTGCTCTCTCTCGCGACTGAAGCTAAAATTTATATGGATTATAAGTAAACGTTGTTTATGTAGAAATACATTTGATAATAAATTAATTTAACAGTGTAATTAAAAAGAATATTTTTTTATAACTATAAAAAAAGTATTTAAATGGGATATTTGAAAATATATAAAAATAAAAAGTTAAAAGATACAAGAAAAAAATAAGGAAGAAAAAAGAGGAAACTGAAAAGAAAAACTAAAAGGAAAAGCTTAAATAAAAAGAAAAAAAAGTGGGGGCACGAAACCAATTCTGACTTAGTAGTATGGAAAATAGATAGATTGAGCATCTTCAATGTAATACTATAATTGATGTGTCAATTGTAAATTTAGTATTTGAGTGTAAAAAAACTCTCCAACGCAATGCTATTTGTTATGCTAAATTTCTCACATGCTATACTTTGTAGTACATTTCTCACCAAGTATAGCATATGAAAAATTTGACATTTGATTGTCATGGAATGTTTACTTTTTTTCATGTAATCATTGCAACTTTTGTAATTTCTAATTATTTTAAAAATAAAAGTTTACTTTTATAACTTTCAAGATTTAATAGTTACAAGAAAAAGTTGATTTAGCATCTCAAATAACATTATGCATTGCAGTAAGAATGAAAATAACATATCATATCATACTTTTTTAATGTTAAATATACAATTATTATTAATATTTACATTAGAAATAGTCTCATGAGTGATCATATTTGCTACATGGCTATACCTCCCTCGATGAAATTGTGGCAGTCCGCTTATTAGGTAGTTATGATATTTTTAATTTTGTTGTTTATAAATGGGTAGATTTATTGTCAAAGTTAAGAAAAACGAAAAAAAGGAACCCAAAACCCTCTCTGAAGCTAGCTCCGTTTCTCCTCCCTCACGAAGTGCTCAGTCATGGCAACTTTTTTTTGATTTCTTCACATTTATTCTCCCTAGCTATTAAAGCTCTAGATCCGCAAGATTGAAGAAATTTTTGTCATATTTTGTTTGATTAAGTGCTTTGAAGAATAATAAATTATTAGAAGAACTTTTTGGAGAACAAAATTTGGAAACTCCAGCATAAGGGAAGAGGAGATCTTGGAGGTTCTGAAGGGGGAGAGAGAGGGGGATGAGGATTTTGGGTCGTTCTCTTGTCTTCTTGGTCATTCGTGAGGGCTCAAAGAAGGGAGGAGAAGGAGGAGAGCTCGAATTTGGTATTTGGCCTTAAGAAGGATGGCACCTCTGTTAATAATACATATTAATTATATAATTAAGAATTTATTTAAATAAAATAAATAAAATTAAAATTAAAAAGTCATTTTCTTAATTTTACTTTTTTACTCAGTTATTTTAGCCAAATTCTCGCGGTTTGGGAAAAACTCAAATTTATAATCATTTTAATTGGTTGGCAAGATGGTTTGAGACTAGCAAACGCGAGCGGTTTATGCCTAATTAGAATTATGTTGGAAAATGCATAAAAAATATATATGAAAAACATAAAACTCATTCTGTTGTTTGTTTTTTGGATAATTATTATCTACTTACTATCTTGTTTAAACTATAAAATGATTATCAACATCAAACAATCATCATCATAATTCACATTTTATAAATTATGTTTCATACTGTATAAATTTTGGGCGGTTTGAAACCGCAGTTTGGTGGGACGAGGTGGCACAGTTTAAGAAAAAAAAAAAGCTAAAACCACCAATTATGAGGTAAGCGATTTAAAATTGAGGTTTGATAGTTTGATGTCGTGACGTAAAAATAGCAGTGTGAGATTGTGCAGTGTAGGTAGACGAGATGGTTTGATATATATATATATATATATATTGGTAGCTTTAGTTGTAGTAAATACTTCTAGTGATTAATGAAATTCAGTATCTCTAGAAAAAAAAAAGGGAGATGTGTAAACTAACAACCAAGTATAAATATTTAAAATTTGACCTTTAAATTTTGAGTATTTTACACATTTATTTTTTGAATTTGTATAGTTTTAACAATTTGCCATCTAAACTTTTAATTTGACAAGTTACCCCTTCAACTTATAAAATTATTATAATATGTCTTATTTAGACGATAATTGTATTAAATTAGTGTCAAAAAATCACGTTCAATAAAAGATTTTAATATCTCAATTCAAATGTAATAAAATCTTTTAATTTATCAACTTTTAATCCCACAATTCTAATAAAAATTTTGATCATAATATAATAATTTTACAACTTAAAGAGATTGATTGTCAAAATTAAAAATATAAGAAGTAAGTTGCTAAAACCCAATAAATTAAGGAGTAATTGTTAAAAATCCTTAAATTCTTTTCGTGACAAAAGATTATGCTCAAAATCATATTTACAAGATTACCCACTTCTTAGTCGTCGGATTACACGTGGCATATAACTATTGGTTCTTTTACAAAGTTGTCATCCTCAGCGTTACAGCACAAGAAACTACGCATAGGCTCACAGGTCTAAAAGGACTAGATTCAATCAGGACTCTGTAGGCTCATCGGTGGCCGCAGATATCGATCAACTCTGCCATCAAAGCACTTATTTTTCAATATAAAATGGACCCCAACACTATACCTAACAGAGTCCAAAAACTTTTTTTCTTTTTTTGTTTTTTTTGTCGCCGTCATTGTGCTGCCCTCCAACTAGGCCCTAAAAAGCTCAGAGCCCTAATTCTGGTCCATTAGGGTTTGCCTCCAAAGCTCTAAACTTTCAACCCCAATTTCAAGCCCATCAACTCCGTCTTCAACCTCTGTTTTTTTCAAAATTTTGAATTAAATCAATAAAATACACGATCCCTCCTTTTTTTTTTTCCCCCCGATTTGCAAAGGGCGCCACTTTGAATCTTCAGATTGCGATTCTCGGTGAGACTTTCGAACTTTTCTCTTTTTATTTTCTTTTTTGCCCTTTAAGATGTAGATTCAATTCGTTAATTTTTCTTCTCCGTTTGAATTTGTTAGTTTTTTTTTTAAATATATATATGTATATTTAATTATGGTTTTTTTCTCTGTTTAACGTCGTTGATTTAATGGGTGATAACTTTCTCTCTTTTATTTATTTATTTTTTAATTTTTTTTTGGGTTTTAAATGCTGTCATTGTATCTTTGAACTGGAAATTTGGGCATATTTACTTTGAAATTAGGCCAGAATTCCGCATATATTTGCAGAATTACTTTTCTCATTTGTTTTTTCAAGCCAAAAATTGTATATACGAGGAAATTATATAGTCCTACATTGTAGCTTAAGACACAAGTAATGTTAAAGGTCTGTGTTTGCGGATAGAGCCGTTCTGGTTTGATTATCCTTAGAAGGATTTGATGTGTTAAGTCTATATTTGTTGTTAATAGGACTTTTCAAATGTCTCTTCCTATCGATAACCGAGTGTGCAAAAGGGCTTATAGAAAAGTGTACAATTGGTTGACATTTTACGCTCCCGGTCTCTACCCAAAAGCCGCTTGAATGTCACCAGAATTGCTGCTTGATTTTCAGCCATTATTCAATTTTGTGTGGTTTGTGGGTTCAATGTGTTAATCTTCAGTTGTGATTTTATATCTTTTGAAGCGGAAACGATCCCATAAATATTTTAAGTGTGTTTTGATCTTTCTATTGCTGATTATTATCTCTCTTTCCTGTTCTTGGATTAAATCTAAGATCCTGTTCCCTGCGGATGGATACTCTTACAATAGTGCCAATCGAAAACAGTGAGGTAACCATAGCAGAAATACAGCCCAACAAGCGTCGGAGGAAGAAATCTGTTGTATGGCAGTACTTCACGGTGGAAAAAGTTAGTCCTGATTGCGTTAAGGCCTGTTGTAAGCAGTGCAAGAAAACCTTTTCTTACATTACTGGTTCAAAGGTAGCTGGAACCAGCCACCTCAAACGACATATTGACCTTGGGATCTGCCCGGAAAGTCGTCAGAACAATCAGCAAATTGCATTTACACCTGGTTTACAGACTGCTGCTACTAATCGCCCCAGGAAACGCGTCAGGGCTTCCTCTGTAGTTCCAAGCTCCCATTTTGACCAGAATCGCTGTAGTCATGAGATTGCTAAGATGATTATCTTGCACGAGTATCCACTTCATATTGTGGAGCAACCTGGTTTTGTTGATTTTGTTCGAAAAATTCAGCCACAGTTTAGTATGCCAAGCTTCAATACTGTTCAAGGGGATTGTGTGGCTATGTATCTGAAAGAGAAGCAAAGCCTTTTGGATCTTGTCAATGGGATTCCTGGAAGAGTCAGCCTTGCATTGGACGTGTGGATTTCAGATCAAACCCTGGGCTATGTTTTTTTAACAGGGCACTTCATTGATGCTGACTGGAATTTACACCGCCGGATTCTTAATGTTGCAATGGTGCCATCTCCTGATTCAGCAGACTCTTTCAATCAAGCTATTGTAGCTTGCCTGTCTGATTGGAATTTGGAAGGCCGGTTGTATTCCCTCACACTCGATCAGTCGTTTCTGAATGAGACGGCATTTGATAATCTCAGAAGCTTTCTTTCTGTAAAGAATCAGATCCTGCTGAATGGTCAGTTATTAGTCAGAAATTGCTTTGCTCGTGTTCTTAGTCAGCTTGCACAAGATGCTTTGGGATTAATGAGAGAAACTATTAGTAAAATCCGTGATAATGTCAAGTATGTCAAAACTTCAGAATCACAAGAAGAGAAGTTTTTAGAGCTAAAGCAACAACTCCAAGTTCCTAGCATGAAGGAACTTTTAGTTGACGACCAAACTAAATGGGACACCACTTATCATATGCTGGTGGCAGCTTGTGAACTACGAGAAGTCTTTGCTTGCTTTGATACTTCGGATCCTGATTACAATATAACTCCATTGACAGATGAATGGAAGCAGGTAGAAATTCTCTGCACATACTTGAAATATTTGTTTGATGCAGCTAATGTCTTAACTGCCGCAACCTACCCGACTGCAAATGCATTTTTTCCTGAAGTGTCAAAAATTCAAATGGATTTGATGGAAGCAGCCATGAGCGAGGATCCATTTATCAGCTACTTGATCAGACCTTTGCATGAAAGGTTTGATAAATATTGGAGTAATTGTTGCCTGGTTTTAGCGATTGCTGTAGTTATGGACCCGAGGTTTAAAATGAAGCTTGTGGAGTTTACCTTCTCCAAGATTTATGGTGAGAATGCTGAGACATGGGTTAGGATTGTTGATGACGGCATCCATGAACTTTTTATTGACTACATGACGCAAATGCTGGCGCTACCGGAACCAAGCATGGACAATGGCAACGAGCACATGATTGATTCAGAGACACATCAAGAAGATGTCCATGATTATGAAGGTCCGTTTATTTCTACTGGTGACGGGCTTTCGGATTTTGAAATCTATCTCTCCGAGATTACAAGCAGTCAGCAAATGAAGTCAGAACTAGATCAGTATCTGGAAGAGCCACTTCTTCCCAGGGTGCAAGAGTTCGATATTATGAGTTGGTGGAATCAAAACAGATCAAAATACCCAACTCTATCTAGGATGGCTTCTGATATATTGTCAATTCCAGTTTCCACCGTTGCTCCTGACTCTGTGTTTGATACTAATTTAAAGGTGGTGGATAAGTACCGGAGTTCATTGCATCCAGTGACGCTTGAGGCCCTTATCTGCGCAAAGGATTGGCTGCAACATGGGTCGTCAACCCAAACGCCTTCACCGTCGTTTGAGGTTACAAATGCAATTGTCAGAATGGAATTTTAGATTTAGGTTTAGTTTGTATTTTCTTCCTCTAGGTAGATCATTGAATGCCCTCATTTTGATTGATTTTGAGGGCCACCAATGTTCGTCATTAATTTTTGTTTTTGTCGTGTTCATGTTAATCTATCGTAGGATGTTCATATAGTTCAGGATTGTATTGTGCTTGTGCTAGGAATTGTTTCTATTATTGCATTCAGTAAATCGCCGCAAGGGTAAATTGTGGCTTTCCAACGTGCATCCGCCTAGCAATAGCATGCTTCATTTTCCCCATATTTTGTCTTGTTACGTCTTTATTCGCTCAAGCTTCTAGTTCAGGCACTTGGTGGGAAAGAAAAAAGAAAAAAAAAATAAAACTTTAATTCCGTAAAATTTGATTCATTTAACCTTGTAAGCCGTAATTGAAAAAGAAAAGAACAAACGTCTTCATTAATTGTTTTTGGTCGTTTTATTGTGCTTTTTTTCATGAAAATGACAGCATTTTCAGGAGACGGATAGTTTTATTTTTGCAGTCCTAAGCAAAGATAATAATTTGTCGTTTTCTGGCAGTCCAAATTTTTGCCTTCATTAGGTATGGAACAATTAAGGTTAATTTTGAGTTTTCAATTCTAAATTTCTATAAAAGTTCTTAAAAAATGTCACATCTGACTTTTTTTGTTATAGTTAAAAGCTTTAAGAAAATATCACATCTCAATTCAAAATGAAAACTCGAATTTATAAAGTGAACGAGGCCTAAAATTTAAAAGTAGTTAATATAATATATATATATATTAATTAAGAGTAAGTTGTAAAAATTTAAACACGCATTTTTTAGGGTAGTTCTTTATTTAATTTTCTCATTACTACACTATAACCTGCTGTAACAAGCAAATTTTTTTCCTCAAAGAAAAAACAAGCAAATTTTGAGACGAAGACATAAAAATTAGAAAATTTACACGAGAATGACAAAAAAAGGAAAACAGCCATATACATATATTTATTAGATTTATAACAAAGATTGTATTATTTCTTCAAACAGTTTATTTAACTACCTTTTCTAAAACAATATAGATTATACGTTTTTTTTTTTTTTTTGAGAAAGAGAGAAATAGGTCAAGATTTGAGATGAATTAAAATTAATAGGCCAATAATTTATATAAGTTAATAAATAGGCCAAATTACCGTTTTCGTCCATAACTTGTCTGGTTATGAACCATAACTTGACAAGTTATTCGCAGTTTTTGTCCATAACTTATCTGGTTATGAACCATAACTTGACAAATTTATTCATAATTTATCTGATTATAAACTATAACTTAATAAATTATGACCTATTAATTTTTATAACTAAAAATTGACCTATATACTTTCTTAAGCCTATTTTCTACTATTTACTTTTTTTTTTTTTTGTCCCTTTACTACCTTTAAAAAAATATATAGCCAGTAGATATTTTAGAACGAGTCAGTGTAAACAGGTTCTTTGCTTACATGACTTCTGTCAGCATTTATCCTCAAATCTCGTCTCAAGAAAAATAAAACCCCATTGAAAATTTACACTACATTATAACACCTTTTAACAACGGCTTCTTTGTATGCATTACCCATAAGCTTTTCAGTTTTTCATCCCTCAACTTTCAAGAAAATGATGTCAATGGCATCCCAAGCTGCAACCCACTTGCCTTCTTTGGAGAACTTGCCAGTTACGACTCTTTTTGAGAACTGCAAGTCCGTTGACCAACTCAGGCAAATCCACGCCCATACAATCAAGAAGGGCATTATGTCATCTCCGTTGGTACAAAATAAGATTGTCGCCTTCCCATGTGAGCATGAAGGCGGCAACATGTTGTATGCTCGCCGCTTGTTCGATGAAATTCCTGAACCAAGTGTTTTTGTTTGCAACACCATGATCGAAGGCTACTCTAGGCTAAATCGTCCTAAAGATGGGGTTTCGATGTATTTGGAGATGCTAAGAAGGAATGTGAAGCCTAATGACTATACGTTCCCGTTCCTATTCAAGGGCTTTAAGCGTGATACTGCTTTGGCATATGGGCAAGAGTTGCATGGTCACGTGGTTAAATACGGGTTCGATTCAAATGTCTTTGTCCAAAATGCTTTGGTAAATATGTATTCCTTGAGTGGCATGATTGATATGGCTAGCGGTGTTTTTGATATGAGTTGTGAGAGGGACGTCGTCACTTGGAATGTGATGATATCGGGTTACAACAGGATCAAGCATTTTGATGAATCAAGGAAGCTTTTCAAAGCAATGATGGAGAAGGGAGTGTTTCCCACTTCAGTTACCTTTGCTTTAGTGCTTTCTGCTTGCTCCAAATTGAAGGATTTAGATACCGGAAAGCAGGTCCATAGATATATCAAGGAGTGCAAGATTCAGCCTAATTTAGTTTTGGAAAATGCCTTGATTGCTATGTATGCGGCTTGCGGGGAAATGACAGTGTCTCTTGATATTTTTGAGAACATGAAGACAAGTGATGTAATTTCTTGGACCAGCATCATTACTGGGTTCGCCAATTCTGGGCAAGTTGATTTAGCTCGGAAGTACTTTGATCGTATGTCTGAAAGAGACTATGTCTCATGGACAGCCATGATTGATGGGTACCTGCGAGTGAACCGGTTCAAAGAGGCTTTGGAACTTTTCCGCAAGATGCAGACTTCAAAGATAAAACCTGACGAGTTCACTGTAGTGAGCATCCTCACAGCCTGCGCTCATCTAGGCGCACTTGAACTAGGAGAATGGATCAATACTTATATTGACAGGCACAAGATCAAGAAAGACAGCTTTGTTGGAAATGCGTTAGTAGATATGTACTTTAAGTGTGGAAATGTTGAAAAAGGGCTGCAGATTTTCAATGAAATGCAAAGAGACAAATTTACATGGACAGCTGTGATTGTTGGCCTTGCCATTAACGGGTATGGTGAGGAAGCTCTTGATATGTTTTCTCAAATGCTAGAAGCTTCAATTATGCCAGATGAGATAACCTGCGTTGGTGTTCTTTGTGCCTGTACTCACACAGGCATGGTTGACAAAGGACGAAGGTTTTTCGCTAGTATGATCAACCAACATGGTATTCAACCGAATGTTGCACATTATGGGTGTATGGTCGATCTGCTTGGTCGAGCAGGGCATCTACAAGAAGCATATGAAGTTATACAGAACATGCCAGTGAAACCAAATTCAGTTGTCTGGGGAGCTCTTCTCGGTGCTTGTAGAATTCATAAAGATGCAGAAATGGCTGAATTGGCGGCTAAAAACATTCTGGAATTGGAACCTGGTAATAGTGCTGTTTATGTTCTCTTGTGCAATATATATGCAACTTGCAATAAATTGGAAAGTTTGCGTGAACTACGAGAAATGATGCTAAAGAGGGGAATTAAGAAGATCCCTGGTTGTAGTTTGATAGAGATGAATGGTATGGTTCACGAATTTGTAGCTGGAGACCAGTCACATCCTCAATCGAAAGAAATATATTTGAAGTTAGAGAAAATTACAAGCAATTTGAAATTCGCTGGATATACACCTGATATGTCTGAGGTGTTTCTTGACGTCGGGGAAGAGGATAAGGAGAGCTCAGTCTACCGGCACAGCGAGAAGTTGGCTATTGCATTTGGCCTGCTTAGTTCTAAGCCTGGTGTGACAATCAGAATTGTGAAGAACCTAAGGATGTGTGTGGATTGTCATCGTATGGCAAAGTTAGTGTCAAAGGTGTATAGTAGAGAAGTAATTGTTAGAGACCGAACTCGGTTCCATCATTTCAGGCATGGATCATGTTCATGTAAAGATTATTGGTAAGTCTGATATCGAATTTATTGTAAAATCGATTACATGATCTAGAAACTACCTAAATATGGCAGCTATAATATCAATTCTTGGCTTCGAGCATGATCAAGATGTTGTCTACGTTATTTTACTAAATATTTATTGATAGACACTGTAGATCTCATTCCACCATTAACAAAAAAAAAAAAAAAAAGCATATACATCATATAACTTCTAATTTCTTTCAATTCTATTATCTGACAATCAATATTAAACAAACCAACTAGTAGAAACTAGAAAGATAAGACATATAACTAGTCAATGAAGACATTTCTGGAATGTAATGGTTACATAGTGAGACCTCATTGCTGAAATTAAACTTTATGTAACAAGATAATCAAAATGACGATTCTACTTCAAAGTTGTAGTCTTGTAGATAGTTGATCACAAAGGGAAACCCCATTAACATGGAAACTGTTAACTCGATCCAGGGTCGAGCACAGGAAGCCGGCAATGCAGACTGATAGACTTGTCCATTTGACGCGAACCAGGGATGAAGAACTGAAATATCACCGTCAAGCAAGCACCTTGAGGAGCAATACCATAGAAAGCACAATCCGGCTTGGCCAAGTGGTAACAAAGGCTCTTAGCGAAGTGCTTCACACTAACTTGAACAGATTGTGCATCTCCCCTCAAAATTGCCCTAGAGGATCGAGCCTGAGCACTCAGATTCCGATCCTCTACCGGAGCATCAGCCTGCTCTCCTATCACCAGCAATTGCCGAAACTCGGCGCCAAGCGTGATAAACGTCGTCGAAATCTGCATATGCAATTCCCCGTACTTGGTTATGGAGACGTTCAGCAACTCGCCGATGTGCTTCATCCGATCAACGAAGCTCTGGAGCTGGTTCAGGTCGGGGACCTGAACCAGAGTCGGAGGCAAATCCTGTGCCGCGTCGAGAGCGGTTTGGAGCTCGAGAAGGTGAGCCCTAGATAACGGTTTCGAGATCGGAACGTCTTGAATCACGGCGGATTTGAAACCCTTGGTCTCGAAGGTAAGGAAAGGCATCGGCTGGGAGGAATTCGCCGGGAGCTTCTTGACGAGCTTGATGTGGAGGCGGTTCGCCGTCGGACCACTGCCGAATTCGGTGCATATGCTGACGCTGCTGCGGAGGGCTCGGTGGAGGAGGGAGACGTCGACGGCGAAGGCGATGCGGTCCTCGTTCTGGCTGGAGATCCGGTAGTCGTCGAAGAGGGCTTCTCGGCGGAATTGGGCGACGGATTGGATTCCGTCGCCGTTGAGGAGGTTGTGGAGGAAGATGGCGTGGTCTCTGGTGAGGTAGAGGTGGCAGATCTTCCCCATCCTGTCTAGGGCTGGTAGGAACCTCTTCTCCAGAAGATTTACGCCGTTCTCCGTCAAAAACGCCTTGAACTTCATCTCTCACTGTGTCTATCAGTGTCAATTTTCACTTCTCGTGCAGTTGGACTTCTTTCAAACAATTTTCTCGCGAAACAAACAGTAGGCTAAGGGGACTTGGGATGTGCGTGGACGGGTTTCGGGCGTTGAAATTATGGCGCCAACGCGCCAACTTTTGATGTCTGTGAAGTGTGAAGGGACTTATAGGATGTAAATAAATAAACAATGTGCGGGTAAATTCGGGATATCAGGGATTCAATGAAATCTATTTGGGCCGGTAGCAGCCAGAAAAAGCCTACCCGACCCGGGGCATTGTTAATCCCCTTTAATTAAGGAAAATAGTAGAAAATAGGTCAATATGAAAAGCTTCAGAAAGTATATAGGTTAATTTTTAGTTATAGAAATTAATAGGTCATAATTTGTCAAGTTATGGTTTATAACCAGATAAGTTATAGACAAACTTGTCAAGTTATGGTTCATAACTAGACAAGTTATGGACAATTATAGATAATAACTTGTCAAGTTATGGTTCATAACCAGACAACTTATGAACGAAAACAGTAATTTAGTCTATTTATTAATTTATATAAACTATTGGTCTATTAATTTTAATTCATCTCAAGTCTTGGCCTATTTTCCTCTTTCTCCTTTTAATTAATTCCATTCCATTCCCTTGCCCAAAAAAAAAAAAAAAAAAAAAAAAAAGAAATCCATTTCCATTTCATAGTTAACTGAATGTACTAAAAAAAAAAAATTGCTTCAGGTAATTATTAAAAAAAAAAACAAAAGAGGAGAATCAATAGATCGTTGTTTTTTTTTTTTTTTTGGTAAAAACAATAGATCGTATTATATCCATAGACACATTTTTCTAGCTAAAAAGGTCCTTAAAATTATATATACAAAATACATTACATTATGTTAGCCTCTACGTGATCTTCTGAAAGACGAAGCTTGTTCAAAATCCCATCCAATGCCTGTACTACAACCTTGTAACGGTCCTGTGATTTCCTCCCTTCCTCCACTACTTGCACAATGCATTTGTACAAATGATCGTACCTATAAACGGGGTTATTAACATCAATTCCTCTGCAACTGTTGTTAAGAACATAATTTCGCACGATATCTTTTCTCCACCGCGAGATAATGTACTGGGGCGGAATCTCCTCCATGCCATTTTGACTGAGGACCAAAAGCGCGTGCCTGCACAGATACCCTTTAAAGTTAAAGGTGCCGCAAATGCAAAGGACCTCGATCTCGGGCGGATTATACAGAACTTCGTAGTCTCTTGTCTCCCTCCTGTTTCCGTCGACTTCTATTTGTTCCTTGACTACATATGTTGCTATTGTCCCGTCGATATTTAACTGTCTGGAGCAAACACAGGAGTACATTCCCTCCACTTCCCTCTCAAAGTTTCGTAATATTTCGTTTGTGTACAATTTGGAGAGCTGCACCTCGAAATAGTATCTCCTCTTCAGCATCGAACATGAATTTTTTGAATCCAAATCTGCCAAGGATTCAAGTTGGTAGTGCTTCTCAAGAGCTTGATCATACTTGTCCAAGAACTCTCTCAAAGGAGTATGTTTGTTCAGAAATTCTTCAAAAAGGGAAGAAACAATCTCGTCTGGTTGGATTGGAATCATACCAGCCAAAAATATGTCTTTCAAATAAACTGGAACCCACCTTTTCCTCTCTTCATATAATGCTTGAAGCCATTTCTGATCCCCAATTCCATGACGCTGGATCATATCCTCCCACGCCGCCTCAAATTCCTCGGGCTTCAGAGAGTAGTAAACTGCTCTACTCAAAGCTGCTTTAATTGCATCATACTCGAACAAGCCTCCCAATTTTTCTGGAAGCTTTTGCATTATTCGCGACAAACAAAGACATTGAGAAGCTCTTGGGAAAACGTCAGCAACAGCAGTTTGCAATGTGCTACACTGATCAGTAATGATAACTTGTGGAGGGCGTCCCGACATACATGTAAGAAACGCCCTAAACAGCCATGTATATGATTCAATTGTTTTGCCTGCAAGTAAACCGCAACCTAACAGAACAGATTGTCCATGGTGATTTACTCCAACAAATGAAACCAGAGGAACTTCATACTCTTTTGTGAAGCATGTAGCATCAACGCTAACTACATCACCAAAATAATTATACGCGACCTGTGCCTTTGCATCAGCCCAGAACAAGTTCCTCAAGCATCCCTTCTCGTTTAGATCCACCACATAAAAGAAATTTGGATCCATCAACTGCGAGTGACAAAAGAAATTTTGAACGGCTTGGGAATCTCCTGCTTTAAGCTTCAACTGATTGGAACAATCACTACTCCTTCCAGATTCTACTTCGTCAACATCTATGCTTCCATTGGCCTCGGTATCAATAATCACAGTTCGAAATAGCCTAATTTTTTGAACTTCTTCAGGGCCCTCTAATTGTGGTGCTCTTTTGGTTCCAACACCCAAGCTCTTGTGAGATTTATAGAATTTTCCACTTGCGGGGCTGATCAAGTGATTATGCTCAAGTTCAACTTCAATAATTCTCCATCTTTTGGTGTCCGTTAATCTGAACTTTATCATTGCTGGGCAACCAGTTCTTGTTTCTGGTCTTGGGCGGTTTGCTTCACTTTTCTTTTTGAATCCTGCACTGCTGCAGCTAAGCTTTCCTCTGTATCTTTCCTTACTCTTCCTATACCATGTATTACTCACTCTAACCCCAAATCCTTGTTCCTTAGCATAGCAATTATAAAAGTAATATACATCCTCGTAAGAATCGAACTCCATTCCGACGGCAGGGGGCACAGGATTTTCCCCTTGAATTATGCCAGTTTGACTGACATACTCAGTCATTGCACAATCTCCTTCAATCTCCAAATCATCACCATCGTCATCACCTACAGGGTCAGTGTTGAGAGAAACTTCGTCCATCTATGACACACAAAAAACAAAACAAAACAAAACAAAACAAGATCCAAAAAAAGTTAGGAAACTTCAAATTAAAACTCGCACACAATAGAAACGTCAACCAAATGAAAAGTAGGTACTTATTAAGCTTTCCTTGATGCATGTTTCTTTGTCATTTATTGTCATCTGTCTTCCGTGAATGGAATTTACTACATTTTCGGACAAAGCCAGTACTAATTCTAGGTGTTAACAGGTAACATGAAGCGATGGTAATCCAACTTCTTACATGCCAACTCTGGCCCTTTTCTTATTTGAGTTTTTGCCCTGCAGCTCATGATTATGCACACATCCGTTCTCTGATGAAGACGACACTTTTATGGCTCCATTTATTTCATGAAGCATGCATAGTTCTGGTATTTAAAAGTTGCAAAACTTTTTTTTTTTCCTTTCATTTTTTTTCTTCTTTTCCTACTCATCTCCAACATTAAGTCTGTCAAATTGGCATATACGCAAATTTTGACAAAAAGCTCTCAAATACGGGAACAAAACTGATTTTCTCAAAACAGTCATTAGCATAGATAATTCCATTCCATCCTCTAAGTAATTCCCAAAGAAACAAAATACGAACAAGAAAATCTACTTGAAAAAAGAAAAACAACTCGAAAAGTTAGCCCATTCCCTATTCTTCAATTTTCTCGGGACCCAAACAATTATTAAGAGGATGTTTGGTAGAGGGATTCGTTCCCTGATTCGAATCATGATTCGTGGTTTGAATCCTCCAACCAAACGTCCTCTAAAGAAAGAATTTCAACTCCAAAGGTGGGTCAGCCTTTAATGGGTCTCTGGGGTTACCTCAACGGAGAGAGCTCGAGATTACTCCTGTGTCCTGATCCCCCTGAAAGTAAATATAAAGTACTAAAATATCAGAAACGACCTGATCTTCAAAAATATCATTTATCTGCTTCAAAGCGACGAAAAGCCGAAACTTGACGAAATTTTTTCGAACCAAATTTCAAAAAGTTGTTCATTTACTTCTGAATATCATTCTGGGAGTGTATTTCGCTTATTAAATTATTAGTTGAATAATCTCTTTTCATTGCCAATTTTGAAGTGAGATTTTCGGAAGAGCAGGTATTTTGCATTTGTAGACTCACCTGATGAGAAGCTTAGTACAGAAAGGAGAGGAATCTGATTCTACAATGGAGTTTTCGAACGATGAAAAGATAGAGAAAAATGAGGAGAAAATGGAAAAGAAGAGAGCAAAAGAGGGTGAGAAGGGAGGCGATGAGAAGCTCAAAAGGAATCGGCAATGGGAGATCTGATTTCAGATCATCATCATCCTCCGGTGAATGGTATCTGCTTTTCTGATGTGCCTCGTAATTGAGGAAAACGGCCAATAATATACCAAGTATTTCAAACTGACCATTCCCAATCATTGTCGATTTTATTCTATTTTCTTTTAGCTTACTCTTTTAATGCTTTATTTTTGGGGAAAATAACGATTTTGGTATCTTGTAGCTTGACAATTTTAGGACTAGATATTCTCGTTTTTAGAAAAATTGATTGAGGTACCTGTTAATAAAAAATAGTATCACTTAAGATTACCATTTCAGTCCAAAAACATAATTAAATAAAAGAATAAACTCATAAAATACATAAAATCTAAAGAAAATAATAATAATAAATCTCAACTAAGGAATTAAACAAAAACCTTTTTAGATGTACCTCTCGTCATAAACAAATAAATAAATAAGTTTAAATGAAAGAATATTATATAGTTTAATCATATGTCTAAAAAAATAACTCCATAGGATCGAGGTGATGTTTTTTTAGCACAAAAGAGTGCCTCAATATGATTTTCGAATACTAAAGTATTAATATTGAGCTACAAGGTACCCAAAAAAAAAAAAAAGTTCTTTATCGGTAGCGATTTAACGAGAAACAATTTGTCGTTTTTAAAAAAACTGTTAAACCACATTGAACTCCAAACAACTAATGAGATGTCGTTTTGCGTTTGGACGACAGCAAACCTTTTCCTAGAACAAATTTTCTTTATTTCTCCAAAAATAATAAGAAAAATACATGTTTGTTTTGTTGCTACATAAGCTCTAGAAGATAAAAGACTGCAATTAATAGATATCGTTTTAGCAAGCAAACAACAGGTGATTTCAAAGTAGAGACAGCATGTCGTTTCTTTCTTGTGGTGGGTTTGGGTCGTTGGGGGGGGGGGGGGAACGACATACCGTTTTTGGACGGAAAACCTATCTTTGCAACGAAAGAAGTGAAAAAGACAAAAACAAATGATCTCCACCGTCCCTAGTAACGCACAATGAATGCTGTTCTTTTTCTTTTTCTTACTAAAACGTTAAAAAGTACACTGTTTTCACAACAGGCCATGCATATTTGACATTATTTTTAGCAACTCGAGTTAGGGTGGGTTTAGTATTGCTTTTAGAAGAGAAAAAGTACTTATTCAGAAATCTAAAAGCTACAATCTTGTTTGGTAAAACAGATTTTAAAAAAATTTTCCTCCTATCTGAAGCTAAAAGCAGAATCAGCCTTTAGGCTGATTCTGATTTCAGCTTATGCGGGAATTCATTTTAAGTGTTTAATGAAATTTTTATTTCCAATTTTATCCCCATTGAATTTTGAAATTTACAACCCATTTTCAAGTTAGTCTCCTCCTCTCGTCCACTCGTATCTGAGCCCTCATCTCCTCCTCTGTGAAAATTTTTTCTGTGTTCCTCTCCTCTCCTCGCCGTTCAAAGCAAGGTTCCCCGGCTCCGTTCACCGGCCTCTCTCTTCGTTCGCCAGTTGATCTCTCTGTTGGCGGTTCGGAGCTCGTTTGGTTTCTCCTCCGCCCGATTGATCTCTCCGTTGCCGGTCTCCTTTCTCCTCCTCCGACTGCACGTCTCTCGTCATCAGATCAAGAGGTAAGCTTCTCTAACCGCGCGATTTTTAGTTTGAACATTTCGATTTTTGGGTCTGATTTTTAGTTTGAATATTTTGGGTTTTAAGTTTCTGATTTTCGTAGAAAAATGGCTGAGCATTGTTGAGGGTTCGGTTTGCCGGTATCCCATCTCCTCCTCCGATTGCCCATCATTAGATCATGAGGTAAGCCTCTGTTTGTTTGTGGGTTTTAGGTTTCTGATTATGGGTTTTGCAGAAAAACGGTTGAGCATTGTTGAGGGTGCGTGTTGATGCTTTCTGATTATAGGTTTCTGATTATGATTGTTTGTTTATGGTTTGAAACTTTGATCCGTGATTGCTATATGTAAATGTAAAAGTTTAGTATATGCTGAAGTAATCACAGAACTTCCATAGATTGCATTGGTTTGGAAACTGCTGAAAAAGTACTAAGAACGAAATAATTATCTCCATAGATTGGACCGAAGCTTGTTGGCATCTATCTGGTTGTTTGTTTTATTTATATAGTTGTAGTTTTTTGATGACCAGTTGCTGTTATTTGGAAGATACTGTTACAGGGCAGCATCTTTAATGTGTTTCAAAGCAAATTTTTGCTTTAAAACCCTTGATTGTTGAGATGCTCAAAATCGTTATGATGCAAAATGGTTGAATTAAGTGTCAAATTAGAACTTTTTTCAGTGCATGGGACGCATGTATTAATGTTTTCTGTCCTAGGAAAAAAAACAAAAATTTGTAGTGTTATATATATGTTGGAATTTTTGTGAATGGTACATGGGATTTGAGCTGTTTGCTTTTGTTTTCTTTTGGGTCCTGAAGCTGAGTTTTTTTTTATTTTTATTCTGTCTTGTTTTTCCAAACAGTCAACAAGTTTGTAGTTGATTTCAAGTTCTTTTGAGGAACATTTATCATAGAAAAGCACTCTTAATAGTTCAAAGTGCAATAATTGGTAAAAGCAAAAATCTTTGAGCTTTTTTTTTCTGATGGATTACGAAAACTGCGTCTGGCAGGAGACTCAACATTGCAGATGGATTACGAAAACTGCATCTGGCAGGAGACCTAACATTGCACTGCAGTGTCGTTTGCTAATTTTTGTCGAGGATAGCTCCCCTTTTCATTCCGAAGCTCTCTATATGACCTCAAAACTAGATAGACGGCATGGTGCCTTGGTTGAGGTATGTCTCTCAGCTTTACTTCACTTTGTTATAATCTTGAATGTAATGTTTAAAGAAGAAGAAAAGAAAAGCTTATTGCTAGGAGGGTGTTTAACCACAGGTTCAGGCATGTGGGTCAATGGTGACAGAGGAGCAGCCTCATGCCATGTTGATACCATTGGAGTATTTTCTCATGGGGTATGACTTGTACAGGCCAACTCAGTCAAATGTCAGCCCACGAAGTCCGTTGAGTCCATTGTGCATAGCTCAGGAGCTTTTTTTGCCCGAAAGTATGGGCTTGAAGCTGAAACCAATAAAAACTCGGATATCTCTACAAGCCTAAAAGGAGGCTACAACTTGTTTGGCAAAATATCACTTTTTGTATATCCCGATTGGTTAAAGGATGATTAGGAGGAAATTTATTAGGGAGTTTGTAGATATGGAAAGAAAGAGGAAACAACACAAGGTGGAAGAAAATTAGAAAAAAAGTAGATATTTGAATTCTTTAATTTATAACAATATAACTAGTAGCTCAGGGAACTTTCTTTGTAAATCCTTGGGATTGTTGTACAACAATGACAGAAGAATAATGGTCGTAATTACAAAAGAATGGACTGTGACTTGTGCACTCTTGTTTTGAAACAATAATATCTTCTAGTTGGCTACTTATGTTTTTTCATTTTCTGAGAAACTATTTTTTCATTTTCTGGGAAACTAAGTAATTCCATAAACATCAACTTCTTAACATGCATCCAGGGGAAATAAAAGCATAAATGTGTCTATTCAACATTCTCGTAGAGCAGCTTCTTCTCGTCTTCTTCTTAATAAATTATATAAGATTGTTGCATTCAAAAAGAAAAAAAAGACTTGTTGGGAGACAGGTATCAGGGAGTGCACCAGGGCATCTCAAAATTTGTTCGGTTTTGCCAGCTAGCCAAAATTTACAACCAATCACATTTGATGAAGCTGCCAGTGAACTAGTTTGTTTGCCTATATAAAAAAGTTGATTGTTCAAATACTTACAAATATAACGTCTTGAGCTCTACAAAGTTTTCATTTTTTTGCACAACTTTGCATATCATGTTTGTGTCATTTAAGAAGCAAGTAAAAATATTTATTACAACAATGGCGCTTCATAACTATATTAGGATGTATGATAAGCGTGATCGACATTTTCAAGAAATCGAGGATAATCAAGATGTTTTCGTTTATGAAGAGCATCAACTGAAAGACAATGTAGAAGAAGATGAAGCTTCACTATCACAAGAAATGGTTGAAGTACGAGATCAAATTGTGACAAGTTTAATGAACACGACTTAATTTTTTTAATGACTCTGTCAGTTTTTTGAACATGAAATGTACATTTTTGTTCAACAAATTGCTTACTCATTAATGCTCTTTTTAGTTGTAATTATATTATGAATGAAAAAATGAAAAAAAAAAATTTAATTATCATAAATTTATTGTTAAAAAATTCAAAATCATAACATTATGTGTTTTTAAAGTTAAACAAGTATTTTTAAATACCAAAAATAATTATATATATTTAAATTTCATATCATGTCTATTTTGGTCATTTTACATATCCACAGCAATTCCACCTCAAAATTTACCAAACGTTATTATACTGATTTTAGAACCAGCACAGCTACTATAATTATAGTTTACCAAACACTCAGCTGCTTCTTAAAACAGCTGCTTCTTCCTTCAGCACAGCTAAAAGTACTTTTTTTAAAATCCACAGCACTACCAAACTAAGCCTTAGTGAAGAAAATGTAAAACTAGAGTTATGCAAGCTAATACCAAAAAGCTTCTACTTCTCTTTCTTGCGCTTCTCTTTTCTTGAGATAGAATGACCAAAGCCTCTACTTACATGGGGAACCGACTTTCTGCACAGAAAACTTTTAACCAGCGATAAGAACAAGACAAAGGTCTTGCCTCTTTTTGATGAGTTATTCATGATTCTCTTCCACATCATGAACCCTATTCAATGACTCTTCAAATGCTTGCAATGCAACCTTGTAATTGTCGAGAGAAATCACACCCTCCTCTACAATTTGCAAACCACTCTTGTACAATTGATTAAACCATTGTACACGATCACCCGCATCAACCGTATTGGAGCTATGGTCCAGGATATACAGCCGCTTGTAATCCTTCTTCCACCTCGAGAGGATATACTTAGAAGGAATCTCCTCCACACCATTAAAGTTAAGCACACACAAGGCGTGTCGGCAGAGATATCCGTAGAAATTGAAGCAACTGCAAATGCAACGAACCTCGCCCGCTGTTCTGTTGTACAGAACTTCATAATCCCTAATCTCTCTCCTATTTCCTTCACCCATGACACGCTCTTTGACTAAAAATATTATAATTGGACCATCTACATGCAACTGCATTGTGCTAAAGCAAGAATACATCTCTTCTACTTCGAATTGGAACTTATGAAATATTTCTCTCGTGTAAACTTTCGAGAGCTGCAACTCAAAGGAACATCTTGTTTTCAATGTGGGGTTTGAGCTTCTCGACTCTATATCTGCAAGGGCTTCTTCCTTGTGCTTCTTTTGCAGGGCCAGTTCATATTTGTCAAGAAATTCTTTCAATGGAGTCTGTTTGTGCACATATTTGTCGAAAAATGGATTCAGTGCCTCACCTGGACGTGCAGCAGCCATTCCAGCAAAGCATGTATCCTTCAAATAAACAAGAGCCCACCGTTCTCTGTCTTCGTATAAAGAGCGAAGCCATTCATGGTCTCCAATTACAAAACGCTGAATCATAAACCCCCATGCTGCTTCAAATTCAATCACCTTCAGAGATTCATAAACTGCTTTAATTAATGCCTTTCTGATGGCATCATAATTGCGCAATCCTCCCAATTTTTCTGGAACCTTTTTCATGATGTGCGACAAACTAAAGCGATGGTGACATCTCGGAAACACCTCTGCAATTGTGTTCTGCAAAGTTTTACACCTATCGGTAATCATTGTTTGCGGAAAGCGCCCAAATGTACAAGTTAGCCAAGCCTTGAACAACCAAATATAAGACTCGGTTGTCTCACCTGCTAGCAGGCCACAACCTAGCAACACTGATTGGCCATGGTGATTTATTCCAACAAAAGCCACAAGTGGAATCTCATATTTGTTTGACATGTATGTGTTGTCGAAGTAAATGACATCACTAAAATAACCACATGCAGCCCTAGACCTTGCATCAACCCAGAAAACATTCCTTAAACGCCCTTCCTCATTGAGATCCATCAAGTAAAAGAAGTTTGGATTAGTCAACTGCATGCGACAAAGATAGTTATAAAGGGCCTGTGTGTCACCTTTTTTAAGGTTCAGCTGATCGGGATGGTCAGAAAAAACCCCGGCTTCTCTTGGATTGGAATTTGAGGTAGCATTATCCCCAGAATCTATCACAAGTGCTTTGTACAACTTGATCGTTCGTACATCCGCATCAGAAGTTAATTGTGAAATCCTTTTGGCTCCACTACCCATCTTCTTAATCGACTTGTAGATCTTGGCACCTAATAAGTGGTTGTGTTCAAGTGTAACCTCAAGTATCCTCCACCTTTTCGAGTCAGCTAATCTCATCCTTATCATTGCAGGACAGCCAGTTCTTGTTTCCTTCCTTAGACGATTTACGTCTTTGATTCTCTTGAAACCCTGGCTGCTGCAACAAAGCACTGCACCATACTTTTCTCTGCTATTCCGCTTGAACCAAGAATTTTTCACTCGAACACGAAAACCCACTTCCTTGGCATAGCAATTGTAATAATTGTAGGCATCATCATATGTCTCAAACTCCATTCCAACAGCAGGCGCCACAAATTCTTTTTTACCCTCAGAAACACTATTTTGCCCATCTAATTCCACCGTTAAACCATCCCTATCCATCTGAATCTCATTGCACACAGGATCAAGTACTTGCACACTACTAAGAGAAGTTTCTTCCATCTGAAAGACATATGAAAATCCAAGAACAGTGAATAATTACATGACTATCAAATTACCCAACAATTGTAACAGACAAGGTCTTTAAGGAATGAAAGAAGGAAATGGTGTAAAAGCCCATCTCAATCTCATCACCATTATTTAAAATCCAAAAAATGGCATTGAATATTGCTCTTAGATCACAAGGGAGCTAAAAGTAAGCAAACATCACTAAATTTCACCAGAATCACTCGTTAAATGATAGAGATGTTCTCCATCCACTAGAGTAGCACACTACATAGAAACATATTGATCCAAAGTATACCTAGAAGCATTATATAGAGCAAAGTAAGTCACAACATGAATATAACAATTATATAGTCCAAAATAAGTCACAACATGAATAACAATTATATAGTCCAAAATAAGCCGTACTATGTAGAAAGTTACATAATCCAAAATAAGTCTTGATATGAAACATAGTCGGATGTTGTAGCCAGATTGCTTGCAATTCTGATATTAAAATAATAATAATAATAATAATAAGAAAAATCATAAGAATCAAATATTTATAACACCATAATGGCATACTCATACCAACTTCAGACAAAAATCAAACTAATTTTACAAATCTCAAATAAATCTCACAAATATGAACTTCTACCAATATCCAAATAATCACACAACCCAATTTACACCAAATATCAAACTAATCAAACTAATTTCAATCGTGCGAAAATAGTTAAACAATTAACAAAATATTACAAATAGCTAAAACACACAAACTAATCACAAGAGCAATTTTCACCAATATCAACCAAAAATCACAATAGTAATTTTCAACAATCAAACAAAATCCAGAAAACCAACCAAACATCAACAAATTCCACAATAAAACGAATTCCATAAACTAATTTCTATTTTATAAATTAAACTTCAAATAAAAATGACACACACAATGAAGCTCTAAACATTCTTATAGTCAACAACTGCAACCTCGGGCGTAATCTTAACGAAGTCTCCTCCTTGTCACTCTACTGTTTTCTTCCCAAAATACTAATAGGCCCGTTTATTTATCTCCATTGTTCCAACTCCTCAATGTCTCAATCTCATCTTCACTAGGCAACCCAATTTGCAAATTATAACAACTACGTAACCCAAACAACCACCGTTAACCAATGAGCTAAGATTTCCAATCAAAGCAAACATGAAATCCCATCATAGAAGCAAAGGGAAATGAACGATTATATAACGGAAACGTAAAATTCTCCTCAAAAACTTGGTTTTTCCACCACAAAACCCCAACTTATAGTAAAACCCAAATTCACCGTCAAACAAAACAATCACAAACAGAAAACCAACCATGGAGGAGCTTGGCTTGCAGGTTGGCTTGAAATTCACTCGCGACGGCGCAAAGACTGGGGGTACCGGCTCCGGTGCTCGGGAGAGGAGGTTTCGCGGCGGCGCTCGCAAAGGTCGCCTGCGTGTTGTCGTTCGATGGCTGGGGATGCAGTCCAGGGGTCACTGATGAGCTCTATCTGAGTTTTTTTTTTCCTTTGAGAAAAATTTAAGGAATATTAAATATGGATTTTGAGATAGGGTATAAAAAATAGATGTTTGTAACAGGTATTGAACAAAAATGTGCTGCTAATATATCTATATTTTTAACAGAAGATGTAATAAATAGAATTAACAGAATATGTATTTTTTAATGGTTAAATTTATATTAAAAATTTATTAATATTTTTTTATTTAATATAATTTTAATTAAATTTAACAGTAAAAAATAAAGTACTATCAGTTGAAAAGTTGAAAGTTTTACTGTAAAAAGACTTTAAAAATATCTTGATTGTAAGTTCTATTTAAATGGACAATTCATATTCAGTTCTCTCAATTTTGTAATTTTTTTATCTTTTAAAAGAAAAATATAAAATAAAGAGGTCATTCCCATTAAAATAAATAAACAAAAGGTCTTAGCAAATAAGTAATTAAAGAAAGGAGGGAAAATAGCTTTGTGCTAATACAAAAATAGTTGGCCAAATTTGATAGGATAATTATACACTTCTAAACATCAATAAATAGGACAAATTATACGGTTGAATCCTGAAGTTTAAACATGCCTTCTAAACATCAATTTGTAATTGCGACTTTTCCCCTTTTATTAAATTGTTAACAGAAAAGCTTGGTCGCAGCATGAGTTGAGTTGGGCCATTAAATGTGCAATTATAATGTTGCCCTTGAATAAGGTAGTATTGGAATTAAGTTGTGTTTTCCTTTTTGGAAAGGAACTTGTCGTTTTTCTATTTCTCCTTTCCGTGGGTGACCTATGGAAGTTCAGTGGTTATCAATGGCGGCCACAGCATAGCAGAGGTAGAAGGTTTTCATCCACGAAGGCCTCTCCGGCAAGTACGTGCGGTGAGGAGTAGAGATGTTTGAGGGAGCATCGGCGGCGAGATCGAAGGTGAAAAGCTCAACGGCCGTGCGGGGCTGCGTTAGGGAGGCGCGATTCGAGGCGACTCTAGAGGTTTGGTTCGAATCGCCCCCAAGTAGAGCTCACAGAGAGACCCGTCATTTCCGGGCAAGGTCGCCGGAAGGCAACCGGAGTTTCAGGTTCCTTGCCGCTCAATGCGTGTCATCGTTTCCGGCCTCGTCTCCGGAGTTTGGAGATGGTGACAGTCGACTAACCTTCTATTCTTGTTGAACTTCTTATATGCTTTTCTGGTCTCATAGAAGAAGATTATAACTGTTGTTCAGGCGTGCTTGGATTTTGTGAATCATTTGGATTGCCCACCATATGTTCGTTAAAATGGCTTCTCAGATAATTTTCTTCCAGTGGCTTTTCCTCAAGCTTTAAACACACAAATGGAGCCCTTCAATGCAGTCTTTGGTTAAAATATGTCAAAGGTTTAAAAAATAAAACGAGAATTTCGTTAAGAAAAAGAAATTTGATCAGAAGAAAAAGAAATTTGATCAGAAGAAAAGAAGAAAAAGAGAGCTTTATTGAGGGAGAGAAATTTGTTTAGAAAATGTCCGTGAACTCTAAGGCTCATTTCATCGATTTGAGTTTAAAATTCGAGTTTTGTTATAGTAAAAAGCTCTATGAAACAGTCATATTTAACATTTTTTTACTACAGTAAAAAATTCTCATATAAAGTCACATCTCAACTTAAATTAAAAACTCAAATTAACAAACTAAATGGGTCCTAAAACTTTTTAAATAATCGGTGTTGGTGCCATGAGATAAGTTTTAAGCTGGTGTTTGAATCCATTTTCAATTTCGTAATTTTAAGTTTTTGCACTTTGTTTTGGTATATGTAACTGAGGTCAGTAGGAATTATTAGGGGAAAATATGTATTGTTCAATCCATTATAAAAAGAATATTTTAAATATTATCTTTTCACGTATAATATTTATATATAATTTTTATGATTACATAAGTAATCACGAAATTTTTAATAATATTTATAAAATATTTAATATTATATACACATGAAATAATAAACTCTTTTATTAAATAAATAATAAATATCTTATTATATCTCATAATTTTTAGACATCATTCTCAATATATTACTACTCACTTCTCAATAAAATCTCCAGGTTATATCTTTCTTTCTCATTTCTTGTTTTCTAGCTAAGTATTGCTTTTTTAAAATTTCACATGTTATTTTTTATTTTTGTTGTGTTGAACTGTTGATTTGGCTTTCATACATCTCTAATGTTGAATCAATTCTATTGTGACTCAATTTTTGAAGTTGATAAACACTGGTTTTGTTGAAAGGCAGAAACGACAAGTCGTTTCTGTTGAGATGCAAACTCGGAAGACTCTTGAAGCTGACATGGGCAAGTGAGGCACAAGTGGCAGCTTGTCATTGGACCGTCTTGTTTGAACTCCAGATAAAATAAATTCTTTTGTTGTAATTCAATAAACACTTCTTCTTCTTCTTGTTTCTTCGAGAGAATTCAAGAGAGAGAGAAAACTTTGTACAGAAAACCCTAAGTTGAGAGAGACGGTCTAGAGTGAGAGAGGTGTGAGAAAAGGGTGATTTTCTTGAGGGATTTCTTGCTCAGTTTCTCGGGAAACTTGGGGAGGGATTTTCTGGAAGTTTGTAACAGATTGTAACCGGTTTGTTCTTATAGTGCATATCGAACTTTCCTCTGGGGAGTTCGCGGAGATGTAGGTGGAATTTTTCACCGAACTCCGAAATCAATTTGGTGTGTTCTTGTTTTGCTTGTTTCATTTCTGTTTCTGATTTGGTACGATCGAGATTTGTGTTGGTTTAATTTCCAACATCTAACTTAAGAAGAACCATGTCTAATAGGAAAAATTCATTAGGATATGAAAAACTCCCAAAAAAAAAAAAAAAAAGAGAAGAATAGAAACTTTGAGTCAATTCCAAAGAGGAGTTTTAGATAAATTTAACACAAGTAGTAAGCGAGAAGAAATGAAGTCAAGTGAGAAAACAAAAAGAAAAAGATTTAAGTGAATTAAGTGATGGTAGAAAAAGCTACGGAGAATAAGAGTGAGGAATTTTTTGATGGTGCAATGAAGGATAAAGAAGGTCAAGAAACAAGTGAAAGAAGTTGGAATTGAAATAGGCACTAAAATAATGATGATTGAAATAGACACTAAAAAATTTCATTGAAGAGAACTTCTCTTAAGGCCCTAAAACTTGTTAAGATGGTCTTAATTGAGTCTCAGTTTAAGTTCGAGCAAATGTCACTATGTTTATTTTGTTAGTTCGAATCACAACTTAAATTTTGATTGTAGTGTTTTCTCTCATTTAAATTTAAATTTTTTTATTTACTGTAACTCACTTTCTAATTCAAGTTCTCAACTCAACCAAGCGAAACAAAAAAGGCATAATTCTAAATTTCAAATGATAAAAACTATTTAAGGCCCCGTTCATTTTGTTGATTCGAGTTTAGAATTCGAGTTTTGTTACAGTAAAAAGCTCTCATAAACAATCACATCTAATTTTTTTACTACAGTAAAAAGCTCTCACATAAAATCACATCTCAACTCGAATTAAAAACTCGAATCAACAAACTAAACGAGCCCTAAGAATGTGATTAATACATTACGTAGAGCTATCGAAGTTGCGGTCGATCGGTGTTAGCATGGCGGGGATTCCATACTGCTCAAGAATCGATGTTGGAGGTCTGAGTGAGTGCTTGCTTAATGCACTTGCAGGCACCCATCTTGTCTTCCTTGTTCATTTTTTATACTTTAAAGTTTAAACTAAAGGCTGAGATTTGTTGAACTTAGATTTAAGGTGTGTTTGAGATTGTTTTTAAACTTTTAAAGATACTTTACACAATAAATGATGTAACTATAATGTTTAATAAAAGTGTACAAAAACACTTTTCACACAAATTCATTCACTTTTTAAATTATTTTAATAAGTTAAATTTTATAATTTTTAGATTTTACTTCTGCTTCTATTTTTACTTTAAAGTAAAAGTCATGTTTCTACTAAAACACAACAATCTCAAACTCTTATAGTTGATATAATTAGCTTTTATGTTCTGTACTTTTAACAACATGACGTATTTTTCTATTTAATAGCTGAAACGAAAAGATAGTTTTCTCGTAGATACGGTTCGTGAATTGTTTTTACGTCAACAAATGATACTATAAACTACATGTCGTTTTATCATGGTGAATTATTTTATAGTTCTTTTTTTTTCTCTTAGACGGATGTAGAGATCGTTTTTGGAATACTTGAATGTCGTTCCAAAATCAAATCAAAACAAAAAGGACTTACCAACCAATGACGGATTAAAAATTTAATTTTAGTGAGGGCACAAACTAAGTTAATAATTATAAACTAAAAGTATTAAAAATAAATAGGATGGGTTGATATTTTGAGAAAGAGAATGTGAAAGAATAGTAAAATCAATTCATCAATATATAGAGAGTAAGAACTTGGTGATATGCTGTTGGTACGCTGATTAAAAAAAAAAACTGTGAATGATGTTTTAAAGGGGGAGTAAATAACAATAATGAACGATGTCATCAATTTAACAAGAATGAAATGAAAAAAGCATTAATTAATCTTAAGTTTTACCCTTTTCGGAAAATGGAAAACAATGTGTAAAAGAAGGAGTTAATCGCTGAGTGGGACACTAATCAGAATGCAGTATATAGAAATAATTACTTTAATCTAGGGACACGTGCCTCTCACTTCTATTTCAGAATAAAAAAGAATAAGTAATGACTTTTATTCTCTATTCCTATTCCTTAATTCTGGTAAGTAAACATACCAAATATAGATCAGTTGTTGTTATCAACTCACTTAAGAACGTAAACATTTACCTAGTAATAATAAATGTATATGTACATAATTTTATTCAAAATATCCTTTCATATGCGTGACTCTTTATGTGTTCAAATAAGTATAATATAAAGAAGGAATTGTTTTGGGGAAAAGAAAAAGATAGTTCAAATAAGTAAAGAAAATGAACCAAATATATTGTAATATAACTAAGTATAATATAAAGAAGAATTGTTTTGGGGAAAAGAAAAGATAGTTCAAATAAGTAAAGAAAATGAACCAAATATATTGTAATATAACCAAGTATAAAATAAAGAAGAATTGTTTTGGGGAAAAGAAAAGAAAGGATAGTTCAAATAAGTAAAGAAAATTAACCAAATATATTGTAATATAATTCAAATTTGATCTCATCCCGGCCATATAATCACCAATTAATCATGAATTTTTAGTGAAATGGTTAATATAAGAAGTTCCTTGTCGCTTTTGAAATTCTCTACCAACTCATGCATGCTAAAGAATTTTTTTTTTTTTTTAGTCCTATATAATCATGGTGCTGCATTCCAATCTCAAATTCCACATAAACACATGCTTTCCCTAATTCTATATTATGATAAGAAAATTGATGATGAATATCATAACCAAATCGATCATATTTATATTACCCATTGTGGTAGTGCAAGCTAATGATTTCCCTTCTGATGATTTCTCTCTTCCCCATGATATCACTTCATCTATTTCCTTTGCTCCAAAATACCAAGCCTTCTATATTCCCCTCAATCTCTTAGCATTGCCCTTTTCGTCGAAATAGCCAAAATCATGTGTTTTAGTGATTGTGCCAATTATTTAAAACTTGACGCAAGGCATTTCAAGAGTTGCTACATTACGTGTATGATATCTCATGGACTCTCACTAGAAGATATATACTGTTATATGGGTTGTGCAATGCCCAAGACAGCCTCTGTTTCAGGACCTGATGGTGGTATATATCGATAATCTCTCCTGCAAATATATATATATATATATGTATAGATATATGTCTTTTGCCAAGTCTTTTTTCGTAAAATAAACATACATGCAGAATAACAGGGGAATCTACAGTGTATAATTTGATGATATGACATAAATATGTTATGTTTGCAGTGAGTTATTACGTTCTCATAGCTAATTTGGTTCTTGATGATGCAAATTTGGATTCGGTGAAACGCAATATGAAAATTTGCCTCAGAAGCTGCAAAAACAATCATCATTAGCACCCTACTTTATATCCACACAATTGAATTTAACTGTGATTAACATCGATCAAGTTTATTGAGGCACTCAAAATTAGTATTATGATTCCAATGTACCTGTTACTAACGGTTCAATATACATCGCTCCTAAGATCACGTTACTCGATCAACTAATCAATTTTTTTTTTTTTTTTAAAGAAGTGAAGGTTCGGTATAATACTTGGTGGAATATCTAGGAACTGAAATTGTAGAAATTGAATTTAACTTCTAGTCTGCATCAATAAAAAATGTGGCCAACCTTGGTTGTTTCTGTAAGGTCAATATCGAGCTTGCAGTAGGGTTTCCCAATCAGTATGCATATTTTTGAACGTTAGATCTAATCAAAATCTCATTAAAATAAAATAAAAAATACAAAATGATTTAGGCGGTTCAAACAGAGCCCTATCAATAAAAATACCTTCATGGAATTCTCATATCCATATATACCAGTCAGAAAATGGAAATTTAACAAAAATAAGGAATAGCCTTATTTACAAACTTAATAGTATCCCTTAACAGTCACATATACGCCAAGGGCATGTGTTACCCAACGCCAAGGGAATATAGCCAGACCTGCATGATTTACTTGCAAGCAGCCAAGCATAAAGCCAGACCCAGAAAGGTAATCTAATCAAGGATCTTTTCTTTGGGTAGTAAAAAACACGCCCAGAGGCAGACAGTGAACTCTGAAGAGCTTGGGACATGAAAGAGAGAAGGAAATATTGCTAGCTACAAAGAATCATACATATTATATATAATTACAATACATTTTTGTCTGCTACAAGACGAACTTTATTCAAAGACTCTTTAAATGCTTGCCAAGCAACCATATAATGGTCATGGGAAATCATCCCTTCCTCGACAACTTGCATTGCTCGTTTGTACAAATGGTCAAACCACTGAACTGGGTTTGTGATATCCACATTATTAGAACCAAGATCTGGTACATACAGGCGCCTAAAATCCTTCCTCCATCGTGATAAAATATACTGAAACGGGATTCCCTCTACGCCATTATAGTTAAGGATACACAAGGCGTGTCGGCATAAATAGCCTTTGAAATTAAAACAACCACAAATGCAGCGAACCTCTGCTCCTGGTTTATCATACACCACCTCGAAGTTCCTCACATCCCTCAGCATTTCTTCCTCGTCGCGTTCTTTGATCATGTATGTGGCAATTGATCCGTTAGTGTGAACTTGGGTTATATTAAAACACGAAGACATCATCACAATCTCATCTTGAAACTTACTAAATAAATCTTTCGTATACACTTGAGAGATCTGCAACTCATAATAGCATCTGGTTTTCAACATGGGACTCAAATCTCTCGACTGAAAATCGTCAAGAGCTTCTTTCTGACGCTTCTTTTCCAAAACTGAATCATGAATGTCAAAAAATTCTTTCAAAGAAATTTTCTCATGCATGAAACCATCAAAAAAGAAGCTAATTGACTCACCCTTCTGAAAATGGAACATTCCAGCAAAAAAAGTGTCTTTTGAGTAAACTGGAGCCCAACGCTCTCGATCTTCAAACAAATTCCGAAGCCACTCATAATCCTTAATTCCAAACCGCTGGATCATTTCTTCCCAAGCCATTTCAAAGTCGTCCACTTTCAGAGAGTCATACACAGTCCTAAACAAAGCCATCTGAAATGCCTTGTAGTCTTGCAATGCTCCCAAGTTCTCAAGAATACTTTGCACAACATTTCCCAAACATAGACGATGATGCGCTCTAGGGAAAACCTCTGCCATTGCAGTTTGCATGGCCTTGCACTGGTTTGTAATGATAGTCTGAGGAGGCCGACCGGACAAGCATGTAAGCCATGCCCTAAATAACCATATGTATGTTTCCAGTGTCTCAACTGCAAGCAAACCACAACCCAGGAGAATGGTCTGCCCATGGTGATTTACTCCAACAAATGAGACAAGAGGAATTTCATAATTGTATAACAAGCATGTTGTGTCAAATAAAACTACATCACCAAAGTAACCATACGCAGCCCTAGACCTAGAATCAATCCAGAACACATTCCTCAAATTCCCTTCATCATTGAAGTCCATCACATAGAAGAAATTTGGATCAGCTAGCTGAGCCCGACAAAAGAAATTCTGAATGAGCTGTGCATCTCCATCTTTAAGCTTCAAGCGCCTAGACCAATCACTTTGATTGTTACTTTCTCCTTTATAGGAGTATGGGCTTCCATAACAAACAGTATCAACTGCAGGTGTACGATATAACTTGATTGTCCGTACTTCTACATCAAGTGTTGGCTCGACCTTCCTTTTCACTCCAGCATCCATCCTCTTGTGTGACTTGGAGTTTTGAGCTCCTTCAGGATCAAACAAATGGTTGTGCTCAAGCTTAGCTTCATCCACCCTCCATCTGTTCGACTCCACTAATCTCAACCTTATCATCGCTAGACAGCCTGTTCTTGTTTCCTTCCTGCGACTGTTTGCTTCTTTAACCATTTTGAAACCCTCGCAATTGCAACAGAGTACTGCACCACGCTTCTCCTTGCTGTTACGCTTTGTCCACGAAGACTTGACCCTAATAGCAAATCCAATCTCCTTGGCATAGCAGTTATAATAGTTGTAAGCATCATCGTATGACTCAAACTCCATCCCTACAATGGGTGGGGAATAGACCTTTCTTTGAGATGCACCACTTTGACCATCAATTACACTCTGATCATCCTTGTTCTCGTCTCCGTGCTTGTTGCCTTCAATGTCAAACAATTGCTCATCTGCAACATCTCTGTCATTTTCATGGCTATTGGCTTCGATGTCAAACAAGTGTTCATTTGCATCATCTCCTTCATTTTCATGGCCATTGCTCTCGATGTCGAAAAACTGGTCGTTTTTGCTATCTCTTTCATTTTCATGGTCATCACCCTCAATCTCAAACAACTGACCACAGTCATTCACGAGGTCATCCCCTTCATCCTCAAGCAAATGGCCACTGTTCTGAGAACATTCTTCTATCTATTCAATACAAAAACAACCTTCTATAAATAACATTTCAAAGGCAAGCAATTCCCAAGTAACACACACACACACACATGTATGTTTTTTCTTTTTCCTAATTTTTTCCCCCTAACAGATTCTTGATCCCTCTAAACAACCTTCTATAAATAACATTTCAAAGGCAAGCAATTCCCAAGTAATACACACACACACACATATATGTTTTTTCTTTTTCCTAATTTTTTCCCCCTAACAGATTCTTGATCCCTCTAAACAACCTTCTATAAATAACATTTCAAAGGCAAGCAATTCCCAAGTAATACACACACACACACACACACATATATATGTTTTTCTTTTTCTTAATTTTTTCCCCCTAACAGATTCTTGATCCCTCTAAACATCAAAAATAATATAGCTTACGAAGATGTAAAATTCCAAAGATTTAAAAGCTGGACTGGGTGAAAAAAAAAAAAAATGGAGGAAGGAAAAAAGCAAAGACAATTAACTTGAAATACTACTAAAAGTACTAATTATTTCGTAGCTCCCAAGATTGTCCCTTTATCATCATTCAGGGGAAACCAAGTGTCAGAAACTACCAATTACAACTAGGAAAACTGATTAATTTACGGCCACACAATCTAATACTATTAATTTACGAAATTTTGATATCCAAAGTTTTAATCTTTTCAATCTTCTTTCCAGTTATTTCCAAACTTTTTTCCCACCAACCAAACAGAAGAAACGATTCGGGAGCAAAAAAATTCTCCAATAGATGGAAGAAAAGTGAAGAGAAATCGGAAACGGAGAAAGGAAAAGATACGGTTTGACTTACAGTGATGTGGAGATTAGGGTCGGGCGACATTGCCTCGTCGGGCGGCGAAAACGTGGTGTCGCCGGTCATGGTTTTTGGCGGAGAACTGGCTTCGTACGCCTTCTGTCAAAGGATGTGACTCTAGTTTTGCCCTAAGCTGCTGACTGGGCTTTTCATGTGCTTAAGTCCTTGAATTTTATTATATTTACGTATTTGGCATGAACTTTTTTCTAATGCCAGAGAGCTTGTACCGTCACCATCACGGAGTCTGTAAGGTAAATAAGTGGAAATACAAGGATTTCTCGACAAAGAAATCAGTGGTGACCGCTTGAGGAAGGTTTCCATGGTTTTTCATTGAATTCGTGTAGATAGATGTTTTTTGTTCAAGGAAAAATGTTAAATTTAGGCCCGCTACAACCACTATATGGATGTTATTTCAACTCGAAAATGCTGTCAATGATTGAAATATATTTCCTCGGAAAAAATCAACTCTTTACACATATAACTAAGGTTAAATAGTAAAAATTTGAAATATGACAAAAATAATAAGAATAGTAAAATTTGATATCATTAAAATAATTATTACAGTAGAATTATATGGTACAAAATGTGACATCATTATAATAATTATTATGTTATTTTTACTACATTTATAATATTTTGAAAATTTTAGCCATTGATTAGAAACAAGAATGTGTAAGCGCGTGGCTTCTCTAGAGAGTAACCTTGGTTTATAAAACTTGTGCGAGTCCCACAAAGAAAGTGGTGGTAAATCTTGGTAGAAAGTAGTTTATAGTTGAAAGCCGTTGGTTATCGAACTCCAACCTCTAACAGCCACAAACAAACCAGAGAACCAAATGGCTCTGGCTTGGGCTGCCCTGCTCCCTCCTTCTCTCAACACTTCCTCTTCCTCTTCCCCAATTCCGACCAGACCAAAATCCCACATGCCATGGAAGATAATCTCTTCTAAAACTAGCAAAAGCAGCAGGAGAGCAAACCTACTCATCACCAATTCCACACAGGACAGTGACAGTGACACTGACAATGAAAAAGACTCCGACTCGCCGGCTTTCAATCCCTTTGGATTCGTTACGGATAATCCGTCCAGCCGCAGCGCAATTCAGCTCCCCGAGGTTCCCGCCGAGGACGGCAATGTTGGAGAAATGCTCTATGTAAGCTAAATCTTGTGTGCTTATGGTTCACTCTTTCAATTCAGCAATTTATGGACTTTTAGCCTTACTTGAATGCTATTTCAGCCTAGCTTTTCTTGTCAAAGCTTAATTTAGTGCTGCTTAAGTTAAGCCAAGCTTTCTTTATCATAGGAACTAGAACGACCCTTTTGAATGCTAAAAGCAAAGAAGCATACAATTTGCAAATTTTGCTTTGTTGCTTATTTGATTATGTGTTTTAGCCGACCCCAATTAAGTTAGGATTTTGCTGCTGCTGCTGCTTATTCGATTATGTGTTTTAATTCTAGAGAATAGAAGACAAGGGTAAAGAGTATGGCTCCTATATCAAATCTGGAAAGTTGAGATGGTTTGTGAGAGAAACTGGTAAATCTTCTTCTGTTGCGAAGAGATTAATATCTCTAATTCTTCTTTCCAAAATAAATTTCTTAAAAATCTTGTTCTCGAACACGCAGGATCGGCTAACAGCCGAAAAGGAACAGTTGTGTTCCTTCATGGGGCTCCAACACAGTCCTACAGCTACAGAGTTGTTATGTCTCAGGTCTAGCTAAACTTCATTTTGGATGATATGAAACTTGTCTCCGCTCATTAGTTTTGACTTCCTTGGCTTATGGAGTTTTTCTTGAGCAGCTGTCAGATCTTGGGTTTCACTGCTTTGCACCTGATTGGATAGGATTCGGTTTCAGTGACAAGCCGCAGCCGGGTTATGGATTTGATTACACGGGTTTGTATTAATGTTACTAAAAAGCACTTTTACGAGGATGATATGGTAAGGGGTTAATCTTCTTTTCTTCTACAGAGAAAGAATTTCATGAGGCACTTGATAAATTACTTGACGTTTTGGGTGTCAAATCTCCTTTTCATCTTGTTGTTCAGGTTTGAAATCTTATATGACTTCTTCAAAGATTTACCATTTATATTTTATGTATATACACTCGTGTAAATAAAACGATATATATTGTATCTAACGTTCTCTTATGCTCTCTTTGAAGGGGTTTCTTGTAGGTTCTTATGGATTGACATGGGCCTTGAAAAACCAAAGCAGAATATCAAAGCTTGCAATTCTGAACACTCCATTGACATCTTCATCTCCGGTTCCTGGATTATTCCAGCAACTAAGGTTAATATTTTCTTAATCACCCCAACATCTAAAACTAGAGCAAAACATGTAAAAAAACGCCAGTTTTATCACACTTTTAGTTAGACAAAATGTTCTTATTTCCATTTTCTTGCTTGTTTTCAGAATCCCTCTTTATGGTGAATTCACTTGCCAGAATGCTATTATGGCTGAGCGCTTTATTGAAGCAGGTAGCCCGTATGTATCCCAAAGTATATCTCATTCTTATTGCTTGATCTTCATCATCATCTCCGTTATGTCATTTACGTAATGATTGATGATCATTAACAAATAGGAGGAAACAATAGGCCTTTTTCTCTGACTGTTTTACATTTTAGACAAGTAGGAAGAATTTAGGCCCTAAAAGTGATTAAACTTGAGCAATATGCTTGTCTTTCTACAGATATGTTTTGAAACTGGAAAAGGCCGACGTGTACCGTTTACCATATTTGTCGAGCGGAGGACCTGGATTTGGTTCGTGATTCGCTACAATTTTATGGAACTCTAGATTTATATCTGCACATGCTCTAATCATATTCTGCTATCATTCCTCAGTCTCTGTAACATAATATCTGTGAAGAAAAAAATGAAACTGATTCAAATTGTTATTTCAGTTACACTTCAGCCTTTGCTAGGGAATACTTAGTCTTACTTTGGTTCAAAAGCAAGAATGCATTAGGACTCCTAAAGAGCATTGACTAGATACGTATATATATATATATATATATATATATCCGTGCAACAATTTAATACGACAAATATTCAATTTAACGTTGTGTTGTTGTTTCAGCTTTGCTTGAAGCCGCGAGAAAAGCGAATTTCAAAGACATCTCAAGCCAAATAGCAGCTGGTTTTGCAGCTGGGAGGTAAAAGATTTTCCTATTTGTCTTTGAAATTTATGTTTAACTTTGAAGGATGTTATGGTTTACCTATTCTTGATGCCACTAATTAAAAGTTTTGAGGAGTTCAGATGGGATGGACCAATACTAGTTGCATGGGGTATATCAGACAAGTATTTGCCTCAATCCATTGCAGAAGAGTTTAAAAAAGGAAATCCAAATTCTGTCCAACTTAAGTTGATAGAAGGTGCAGGACACATGCCACAGGAGGACTGGTAACTAAATTTGGTTTAGCATTTATGCATAACACAAATTTGTGTTTGTATCTTTTATTTATTTTTTATTTATTTTTTTCTTCTCACTTAAACTTGACTATTTGACTACAGGCCTGAGAAAGTTGCCGATGCACTACGAGTATTTTTTTGAGTTCAATGACACATGAATCGCGATTCTAATCTCAAAGTGGGCTTCATGTTGGTAAGGTAAGAGAAGAGAAGACTTTTTGTCTAAAGATTTACCAGAAATTCCTGTGACTAAGAGAAATATCCTTTTTTATCAAACAGACGAATTCTCAATGTTCAGAAGTTTCGAGGCTGTAAAAATGATTGCTTATTGCACATAAACATAGACGAAGAGTTTCATGCTAAGCTTTAATCAATTTATGTCGATTTTAGGATGTTGATGCTTGCATCTTCTAATCAGGTCAGTTTTGCTTCTGAAGGACACTGAGCTAACTCGGTGGATGTTATGCTATCTTTCTGTAACGAATTGGTGTTTTATGTATATATAATATGAAAAACATTTTGGACTCATGTTATTCACTTTACCTTATAACTTTATTCGATTATAGCGTCGTTACATTAGAACTATATAATAGCCAAAGTAGTTTCCACTTTATGAGATAAAAAGTGTGCGACAAATGCAACACATACACGCCACTTGGAAAGTCGGACACACAATGACATGAATGATGAAACTAACAAATTTTTAGAGTTCAACGTGTAGGTCTCGTTCATTTCACTGATTTGAGGTTTTAGTTCTAAGTTTTTACAGTTAAAAGCTCTAAGAAAATATCACATTTAACTTTTTCTGCTGTAATCTCTGAAGTGGTATCAATTTCTCTATCAATTTCTCACTTTGTCCTCCAAAAAAAAAAGGACTTGTGCACCAAAACAAACACTTTATTAACCAAATATCAAGAAATTGCACCAAAACAAACACTTTATGAACCAAACATCAAGAAATTGCTCAAGGACCATCCGTACGTTTAATCTTAACTTCTAGGCTGAATGTAGGAAACCAGGCATGCTGCAAGAACCACCAACACTAGTGCATTCACCTTGTGTACAAGTTCCTGAAAAGATCCTGGGTTGCCTTTATATACAAGACTGCCATAAAACCATATGTCTAGGTCACAATAATCACCTAGTTCATGACAATTAGTTTGTGGCTCTATTAGTATCATATTAGTATTGTTATCAAAATTTGTAGAAGTGTATGAAATCAAGCACGCCGCGGCTACAAACACAAGTAATGCGACCCCAACAGCTGTTGCGATATAATCTTCTTAGTACTTGCCATTTCTCAATCTCTACTTAGTTCTTACACTTTTCATCATGTTTGTTTACTCTCCACCGACCTTAATCCATTAGGGCATGTTTAGTACACCGTATAAGCACTTCGTATTATATTATTTAATAATAATATAATATTTAATAACATTTATATATTGTATAATTTAATACGAGATTCAAAATTAATACAATACGAAGTGTGATATCTAATACGAAAAAAATCTATGTATTAGATCATATTATGCAATTTAATTTAAAATACCATATTTAAAACATATAAAATACTCCTTAAAAAAATAAAACATACCATATTTAAAATATTCCTTTAAAAAAAACAAAACAAAACATATAAAACATCTTACAAATATCAAGGCTCGGGATTGGGTTTTGGGTCCGACGTTAGGGTCGAGTTTCGAGACCGAAGTGATGTCGGGTTTATACTTTTTTAAAATTACATTTTGACCCCTAATCTTTTCAAAAATTATATTTTGACTCCTAATCTTTTTAAAAATTGTTTCAATTTTTCAAAATTATATTTTTGCCCCTTTTAAAAATTACAATTTGACCATATTTTCAATTTTTTTTCAAAAAGACCCCTATGTAGCAACTCTACTTTCTTCCTTGCTTCCTCCAAATGTTGGGTTCAGGTTGAGATTAGAGTCGAATTAGGTTATGAAAGGCCTAAATTTTATCTTATTACAACCTAATACGTAAATATATTACAATAGTAAAAATAATATAATGTTTAATAATATTACCAACCAAACACCGTATTGTATAAAAATTATACAATATAATACAATACTATACGATACAATATGATACAATACAGTGCACTAAACATGCCATTATTATATTTATAGACATTGCCTATACGTTTATTAGGAAAAAAAAAAAAAAAAAAAAAAAAAAAGCTAAAAGTTAGCCAAATAATAATACTAATTGAGAAACGAGAAAACATGGTTATGGAGGCTTGCAACCCATGCCAAAATAGTATATTAATTTGATGAGTATACAAATATATTCGTGACGATGGGAGACCAAGGAGTATTGGTATATGGGTTTTTATTAATATTTTTTTTTAGTTTAAATATATACATTAGTTAAAAATGTATTAATTAATAATAAATAATAAAAATTTAGATTCGTACACTTAAAAAGTCTTTAAAATTTTATGTTCTAACTGGCCCGCACTATTTCGGTTAGTACAAATAATATTTTAAGCCGGCTACTTGTCATTTTTACTTCTCTTGATAAATTAGAATAAAACTTCAAAGGTGAACGTTAACACACAAAAGTCGCGTGATTCATGAATTTACAATACCTCTCGTTTTTTTTCTTGGTAATCAAGCGTTCAATATACAATACCTTTTACTTCTCTATTCCTTTCGCTGATCCATTTTTTACTTCTCTTGATATATGAACATTATTAGCTTAATGTCAAATGCACAATTTAGCATAATAAATCTAAAATAAGTACACATACTGAATGTTAAAGTATGCACACACAAGTTGCCCGGTTCATAAAAATACAACTTCATACGATTTTATACCTATACGAAAAGAATAGCTTAATATCAAAGGTAAATTTTTTTGAATAATAACTAAACTCAGCAAACTTTCTGAATGCAAGCATTGCCACTCTTTAGGTCAACCAAAATGAGGATTTGTTTCCTTAATAACAAGTTCATTCGAGTGCAAAATACGGGTCACTAAATACTACCAGAAGGCACATACATTGGCCCAGTTACAACACAAAATAAATAACAAGAACAGTTACAGAGAAAGAAAACACCAAAATTCCCATTTTCCATCTTCCAAAACATGACTGGGCTTGCATGGCTGCCCAAAATATTTGGGTGGGTACCTATTTCGATTTTGTTTTCACATTCTTGCTAGTTTGACTTGGTTGCACCTTTTTCTTGGTCGTCTTGCCTGTCTTGGAATGTATATCTGTTACTTTCTTGGATCTCTTCTTTTGAACTTTGTCATCTTCATCATCATTGTCTTCCATACCATCATCATTCTCTTCGCCTTCACTTTCTTCAGATTTTCTTTTAGCTGGAAGATTCTTCTTAACTTGACCCTTCGCCTTCGTCCCTTTCTTTGGTTTGGTATTTTCAGCAATGTTGTCTTCTTCATCAGTGCCATCACTATTTTCTTCTTCGTCACTTTCTTTAGATTTTCTTTTAGCCGGAACCTTCTTAACTTGACCCTTAGCCTTTGGCCCTTTCTTTGGTTTGGTATTTTCAGCATCCTCGTCTTCTTCATCAGTACCACCACCATTTTCTTCATCGACGTTTATAGATTTTCTTTTAGTTGGAAGCTTCTTTTTAACTTGACCCTTTGCCTTCACCCCTTTCTTTGGTTTGGTATTTCCAGCAATATTATCTTCATCAGGTTCTGATTCATCGGTACCACCATCACTTTCTTTAGATTTTCTTTTAGCTGGAATCTTCTTCTTAGCTGGACCCTTAGGCTTCATCTCTTTCTTTCTGGTGGTCTTTTCAGCAATGTCACCTTCATCAATTTCTTGTTCATCCTTGTCACCCTCATCCTGACGCCCTTTTCTCCGGTTACTTTGTTTCCCCTGTTTACTCACTGCCTTTGCTGCTTGGCTTCCACTTAGCTTTTGTAACTCAGGTACAAAGGCTGTTGTCTAAGCAGATGTACAAGCTAAATTAAAAGAAGAAAATCTTATACAGAAGCGACAAGAACTATTGCGTGAGATTCTCTTTTCATACAACTTACCCTGCCACCAGCAGTGATAAACTCAATCTTCTTCCCTGCATTAAAAAATATCAAATAAATTGCGTAGGGCAATCAAAGATACCAGATAAACCGATAGGCTAAGATGTAAACAAAATCAATAAATAAACAAATAAAAATACATATATTTTCTATTTATGTATGTGTGTGTTTGAGTAAACACACACATATAGCAATGCATACATGGAGAATGATCAATTCCAAGTATGGTATAAGATTAATCACATAAGGATCAGGAGCCAAACCATCTACAAAAGCCTTGCCAGGCTTCTTTTCACGGGCGTGAAAAATCCAATTATTTGGATATTGGCTACTATCTGCTCCAACTTCGACTGCTTTTTCAATGACCTGTAAAATGAATTGTTGATCAACAATGACCATCATAAATCACCAGATCCTTACCATTAACTTTTCCAGGCTTTTTGCCCCACCGAAAATGAAACAACCATCCACGTGGAAAGTGTCTAGATTCAGCATCAACTTGAACAGCATAATGAACAACCTACATTTATCATCCTCCATATTCACAGTAAAGAGTACATTTTCAACGCAAAGGGCAAAAGAAAAAAGAAAATTTGAGGTACAAGAAGATCTCCAGTAGAAGCTAAATTCCTACCTCTTTGATACATTTTTGTAGAGTTGCACAACTTTCTTTGGACAGGGTGGCTGCAACTTGCAGAGGATGAACTTTCGCCTGCACATATAAACTGTTAATCTCCAAAATCAAAAGAATGGCCAGAGAATCCCAAAAGGGTCTCTGAAGTGAACTAATGTCGAATGCCAAATCAACCATATAAAAAGAAAGGCCAAAGTCCTAAGCTACAAAGATAAAATATAATACAGATATTTAAAATAATTTTAGAGGAAAGGAACAGGCATACTTGGTATAGCACTTCATCTGCAATCCAATTTCCGATGCCTGAAATGTAACTCTGCAAATTGAACGAAAGTAAGAATTAAGACTTGAAAAAGAAAACAAGCTCAAAAAGTACTTCCACATTGAGCTAGATGGTCCCAAATTCTCTCTTTTAAAGAAAACATAATTAACTTAAAAGTTAAGGCGTTTTCCCATGACGTATGAATTATCATAATACCATCTTGTTGCCTCGGTCAAGTAACAGATAACACAAAGATTGCAATTCACCCACATAAAAGTTCCACAAACAAAAGACTATGCTTACAAATCCAATAGTAATTGAAGTGAAAGATTTGTACAAACCTGATCAAGTAACAGAGCCTTAATTGCAATTTTCTTCTTACTCAACGATGCAGCAAATTCATCTACTGTCATAGGCTCCAAGAGAGCATCAGGGCCAAGCTCAGATATTGGAGGCACTGATGTTGGCTGTAGAAATAAGACAACAGTCAAACAGGGTGCGTACTCAAAGTAGAGAAACATGAAAGCTTTAAAGATCAAAATTCATACATCTTTCAGCAATCGGACTTTAGCAAATCGCCTCTTGTCAGTGAAAGACAGCTCCATTCCATCATCTAGCTGCAGATCAAGAGTATAAAGGCAGTAACGTTAACTCAAAGCCACAATAAGTACTACCACAATTTTCAAAAGTAGCTGTTATCTTTAGTCAAGCTGTTTTCAATTAACCCAAGCAAAAAGTTGATATTCAAAATGCGTGGATGACCAAAAAAAAACCAACATAGCCAAAAAAAAAAAAAAAAACTATTTTTCTCCTACTCAAAAACAAGTACCACATAAGATATATCACTATCTATTGAATGAAGCAATTCTTACTTCTATGAAAACCTTGGAATATTTGGAAGGCCACTCTTCATCGTCCTTTACAGCAGACCTGTAACCAATGTTTTTCATCGCGATGATCATCCATTGAAAAATATGGGTGACCAATATAGTAATATTGGAAGGAAACATCCAATGCAAATCAATTCATCCATCCCTCATGCGTGTATATATTGTAGGACATAAATTCAGAAATGACATCAAAGAATTACTTTATGGGCAACTTATAAGTTGTAAGTAATTTGAGAACTCCACCACAAAAACATGTCTGCAAAAATCCTCGTACAAGGTTCCACATTTCCACGTAGAACCGAACATTCTTACCTCTTATATTTCGTGACAGCGACGCCCTTTATATATACAGCACCCGCCATTCCTAAAAACATTTAACCACAAACAAATCATTCTCTCAAGCAAATATATATATATATATATATATAAGCAAGCGCACAGAACTAAACTAAACAACATAGACCATATCAAGCCAGAGCCGTTTCGGAAAGTACTTATGTTTCTTCATAACTAACTACATTTGGATAGAAGAAACATGCAACAAGGCATTTTCTGAAACGAAATGAAATGTCTGGTTAGGGTTTGGGAGAAAGAAGGTTTTACCGAATTGGAAGGAAGGGAAAGGAGGCGAGTCGAGCTGGAGCCAGAGGTTCTTGCCCTTGCGGTGAGCGGCGACGATGGTTTTCCTCAAGAGAGAGGCCTCGAAGTCCGAGGCGGAGACGCCATCGATGACCTTGGGATCGCTGGCTACGATCGACTTCTTGATCCTCTTCCCGAGGCAGTTTTCAGCTATGGCCCTCCGAGCCGCCTCCACCTCCGGAAGCTCTGGCATTTCAGCTCCTCGGTGGTCGTGGCGGTTCCGTACAATCGGCTCTGAGAGTGGAAGAGTTGGCTAGTGTTTTCGCTTGGCGCGCTTTTCTTGTCGGGTCTGTCAGTGTGTCTCTGCTTGGGGGTTTGGACTGGGAGGAAATGGAGGAGTCAAAGAAGCTGGATATATCATGGGCTGGAAAGTTGGAACTTCTGGGCCACCAAGCCCAGTACATTATAGAGAATGATGGCCCAAGCCAATTATGAGAGGAGATTCATCCAATACGTTACCATACGTCTACTTCTTTTTCTTTTTTTTTTTCTTTTTTTTTTTTTTAGCAACATACTTCTACTACTTCTTCTTTATTTTTCTTTTGCTTTTGAAATTCTATCCCTCTTAAACGATGTATAAAGAGAGAAAGTGTGCCCAAAATTTTAGACTGTTTAAGAAAGGACTGCCTAACTTTTAGTCTTATTAAAAACTACAATAAGTACAATCAAATCCTTTAAACATTATTAAGGCTATATTTAAGAATTCACCCCAAACACTACTATTTTCGGTCCTTATTCTAAAAAGTTCTTTATGAATTTATGGGTGCACCTCAGTGAAGTACTTAGGCTTATGTCAAGCACATCAAATAGGATTGATTGGTCACCCCGTCATTGCATACAACTTAGGATAAGATTTATGACTCGTTTAGTTCACTAATTCGAGTTTTTAATTTAAGTTGAGATATAATTTTTATATGAGGAATTTTTACTGTTATAAAAAAATTAAATGTAATTATTTTTTAAAATTTTTTAGTGTGATAAAACTCAAATCGATGAAGTGAACGGATACTTACGATTCTATTTCCCTCCTCTACTGTTTCCACTAAAAAAAAGTTGTCACTTTCACCGCTAAATATCTATAATACGCTTATCTTTCCATTTTTTCTCATTTATTCTCCTACATTTATTACCACCACTTATTACAGACTTACTAGCTTAAACTATTATACAGATGTCCATTCCCTTGCTTCTCTTCTGTGTTTTATTGGTTCTCCGGAGGGAATCACACTAGTTGCATTCAAGGAATGATGAAGCCTTGCACCAGAAGTTGCCGTTCTTGGAAATGAAGATTTGACGTGATTGTGATTATTAATTTACTAATTCTTTTATGAAGCTTAAGTTATTAAAACGTCAGCCAACAATAATTCATCTTTACATGTGGGTCTAAGCTAAACAAAATATCCAACACAAATTAATTAAAGAGAGAAAAGACAAATTATATGCCCACTGCACGTGACAATGTAAGAAACTGCAATTAATTAAAGATCCACTTCTAATATTGTGTCCTTTCAACTTTTCCAAAGGAAAAAAAAAAGGATTATTATGATTGATGCCTTGAATTTTAGGGTTATTATCGAGTTTTAGTTTATTTGTACGATAATATATTAATGTTTTATTTATTTTACTGATTCGAATTTTTAATTTTAATTTTATTATAGTTAAAAAATTTTATAAAAAGACATATTTAATTTTTTTTGTTACAGTTAAAAATTCTCATATAAAGTCACATCTCAATTTAAATTAAAAATTCAAATCAACGAACTGAACGGGCCTAACATCTCAACTCTCATTTCAACCTTTTTACATGATTGGTCTGATAAATAATTTGTCGGTTAATAGATAGCTAATTCAAGTCTCCGTAAATCAAGCAATGAAGTCTAATGTAGGATGGCTTGTAAAAATGTAAAGTCTATTTCTAGTGAGATTTCGCTGCAATTAGAATTGACATTTCACTTGCAATCTGTATTCACACATGTAGCCCACTTGTAGTGGTTGAGGACTGTATCATTCATGTCTCTTATATAATAATTGTTTACTAAACAACCCAATATTTTCCTTTCCACTCTAAAAATCCCCCAAATAAACCTCTTTTCTACCCTACCAAACATAGCATAAGATGGCTTCTCTGATAAACCACTTTTCTACCCTACCAAACATAGCATAAGATTTCCATAGTTGTTTATCAGAGAACAAAGATTATGGTCCGACCTACTCATTTGTTCTCAAGCACTTTCCTTGCTTTTGGGTAGCTGGATCATGGAAGGAACCCAAACACAACAAAACTTCTGCTTCTCTCTTCGACAACAAGAAGCCAATAAAAAGTAACAGAATGGCAGGAGGGTCAGAATTTTGATGAAGTCCCTAGAAAATAATTGGGGCAAGTAAATTACACATTCAACCCCCATTTTTCTGTTATTATTTCTTTTTACTTTTAAATTAAATTAGCTCGTTGAGAGCAGAGTACCATACCACTGCATATAATACAGATGGCTGTCTGATCATTTATTCCCTTGGATAATTGGCGGATAATCCAAAGTGAATTAACGACAATGTTTTATGTTAGGTCTTTTAGTTGGCATTTTGTTGACATTGGTTGTAAAAAATTCAAACTATGAGTTCGATTATTCTGAATATTGAATGATTTTGTTGATAGAAATTATATTTTAGAAGGAAATTTCAAAAAAGATTTAGAAGATTTTTTGCATCATGAAGATAGTTATATATTTACTGAGAGAGTTATTTGAGGAAAGAATATTAGATTTTGATTGTCTTAATGGACTGATTATATTTTGAGTATGTGAGGAATTTAATTAGAAACTTACTTTGCATGGCGCGGAGAAAATGAAAAGTAGAGTACTCTTGCTATATATTCATATGTGTGTGTACATAAAGGGTATGGGCCTTGAAAAAGAAAATATTGGATAATCAAAGGATACATTTGAGGTATGGTTTTTATAGAATAAATATTCAGAAAAAGTCTATGGGAGAGTGAACCTTGAGTGTTAATTGAAAATAGTCATTTAGGAGAAGGATTAGAAGCTTTCTAGAGGAAGTGCATTGTCAGTCGAAAAAAGTTCGTTGAGCAGTTCAAAGACGAGTGATGCTCGCTGGACAAAACCTCTAAACAAATCTACACAACGGTGACATCGTCAATGAGGGAGTCATTGAGTGTGTAAGACCGATCGGTGTTTTGTAATCTTTTGACATTACTGGATTGTTTAATGTCTGGACGTGGTCCCTCAGATGTAGATGTGCACACCAAACTGCGATATCATATCGTGTGTTTTTTGTTTTCTACACTATTATTTCATGCTTGGTTAATTTACGTTTATGTATTGAAAAGACGCAATTAATTACCAGTGTTATAGAAAATGTTATAACATTCTTTATATCACATGCGTAAAAAACAGACCGTTCATTTTGCAAGCCACGTTAGTTTTTTATTTATTTTTTGTAAATGTGGACTATCATATCATTATCATACCTTTAATAGTTGCAATTGCACCGTCAATATTAATCAAGTCGACTGTGTCCCTAAAATCTCTCATCTCCATTATTCTCCGACAAGAAAGAGAAGGGAACAACTTTTTGGTTGTATTTCTTGGTGCCTAAGAATCACTTGGGAATGAACTTTTGGCACTTTGATACTGATATATTTGAAACCCAATTCTCCACAAGTTTAAATTTAGACTATCGGAACTCAGAAGGTAAGCCAAAAGTGATCGTGTCTATAACATTCACGTCAAAAATGATTCCTTTAACTCATCAAATGTCACATCTTCCATTTTTATGGACAAAAAAGAGGACAAGGCATAGGAGATTTATAAAATAACGCTCAATAGTGAAATTATCTCATCCGTTTTAACTAAGTAGGATGTAAGGTTACAATTAAAAGGTATGGTATGATTGGAAGATGTTTCACTATATCTATCTATCGTATTTGATGCCCAGAAAGTTATTATTTTTTTAAAAACAAACACAATTATTTAAAAATAAAAATAAAAGAAGAAGAAATTGTCTCATCCATGCATCCACATGAAGGGTATGATATATGTATATATATATATATATATGTGTGTGTGTGTGTGTGTGTGTGTGTTTGTGTGTGTGGGTGTATATATATATACGTATATGTGTGTGTGATAGCTAAGATTGCTGAAATATTTACATGGCAACTCCGAAAGTTACATTTCAATATATTATTACTAACTCTCGTATGATTCCAAGGGAATCACGTAACAGCGGTGCTACTTTCTAGTAGTGGACCGAGCATTGATTTCTGTTGTGTCTTTTTTTTTTTGCTGATCGATTTCTGTTGTGTCTTGTTAATTAATAGATATCAAGATTTTGCGTATCCACCAAAAGGACTCTCACTGATTGGGGTGCACAAAAAGGAAATGGGCTCCAGTACGTGACCATGTAAATTAATGCAACTACTGCAAAATCAACAATTTATTTTGAAAAAGTATGAAAATATCTTATGTGCTTTTTTACAAATTTGTGTTAAATTATTATAGTTCTCCGTGTGCTTATTTGGGTCCGTTTAGTTCGCTGATTCGAGTTTTTAATTTGAGTTGATATGTAATTTTATGTGAGAGTTTTTTACTGTAGTAAAAATTTAGATGTGATTGTTTATGAGAGCTTTTTACTGTAACAAAACTCGAATTTTAAACTCGAATCAGCGAAATGAACGGGGCTTTAAAACTGTTCTACCGATAAGATACCGTGTCTGTGCGTTAACTTCACACTTCAAAGAATCACAAAACATGTTTTAGTTCAAATATGCACTCGGGCCTCGGCAGATAAAAGCAATATCATAAGCATCACGTGGTTATTCATGCCCATTAATAATTGGACATTTGAGATGTGCACATTCTTTTTCTAGTGATAGACTTCATCGCCTAACAAAGTTCGAGACTTTTTTTTTTTTTTTAAATAAGTCAAATTGCTGATTTTTAAAACTTTTCTTATTATTATGAATGTCTTTTTTTTTATGGTTAAATTGATTGATTATGTTGAATTCATGTGCATTTACTGTGCGCAGTCCTGTGTGATAACTGACAAATTGGAATTTATGATACTGTTTGATAAAATAAGATATAAACTTTGGGGGTTTCTTTAATAGACCTGAAAAAGACAAATTATAAATAATTTTCAACTATCAGATCTGTATTAAAAAGTTTATATTATGCATTTTTTTTAACTGATGTGATTTTAATCAGATTTAACGCAAACATTGACCCTACTATAAATTAGTCTACCGAAAAAGGTCCCATAAAATTATTAACATAATTATATATA